CACACTGTTACATAAGTAAAAACTGGTCATGTGCTGATGAATAGATATGAACAGTATTTCAAATGCCCAGCTTTTAAAAATACTGTTGTTCATTTCTTAACAGGATCTTACTATTGGTGGTTCATGAGGGTGTGACTATCTAAAGTCTCAGATGTCTTTTTTTTCTTTACAAACTTCAAATACGTCTTTTGTTAACAATAGGATACAGTCAATCTAAATTCATTTCAAGCAAGTTTATGAATGTTTGATAAAACAAAAAAAAGTGAGGAATGTCATCGGACATTTTGAAAGAAATCTTTGAACAATAAGAAATCTCATTCTAATTATTTCAATCCATTGATATTTCTTAATAATTCTCAAACATAAGTAAAGAATTTGTGTATGAGTATTTGGCTTTACAACGCACCATGACCTTTGAATACTCTGTTGGCTTTGCTTTCGTTAACATTTGTTTTCGGATGCATCGTCCAAAGAAGCGAGATTAAAAGGTAAACAGTTTACTTATGCCACTGACCTTTATATCTGATTTTTCGTGTGTTAGACGAAATTAGGTATATAAATCTTTTTAAATAAACAGAAATATACTTAATGTAAAGTAAATGATGTTTTATCTATATTTCATTGATGATTGCGAGGTCATTTTAACTGATGTTGGTTCATTTTGAAGAAAACAAGTTTGATCAGCAGCAGGCGCGTAGTTTAGTTTTATTTGAAGATTCCAAAGTAAAACTATTTCATTTTTCATCCATCAGTATAAGTAAATTATCTATACTAGTACCCTACAACTTTAAAAAAAAAAAATTGTACCTTTTCCAAAGGTAATTACCGCTCTACTTAACATAACCAAGATAGCAAATATAAACTAAAGTTTTTAATTCTAAAATGTGGTTCAACATTGAAATAGAGACAACCATGGACAACAGATACACAAAAACTTTTTTTTCTCCTTAAATCATGAAAAAAAAACTTAATGTATGTTGATTTATTTATTAATAATGCCGAATTAAGTAATAAAGATTAAAAAGACTTATAAGTGGATGGTCAGATATTTATGGACTTATTTGGTTGCAAATGATTCATAATCAAATCTCTTGAGTACTTTTTTTTCAAATGCAGACTTCTAGTAGGATGTTCAAAAAGAAGAGAGAACATCTTACTAGAAAGTCTGCATTAAAAATATTTTAGAGATTTCAACCATCTTTGCAACCAAATAAGTCTATAAATATCTCCCAATGAATGCAGCCAAAATTTTGTTTGTATCATGTGTGTCGAGTCATGTGTTCCATGACTCTTACCTATTGGTCATGGCATTTTCTTCTTGATAAAGATTAGAGGGAAATATTTTGATTCCACATTTAAAAAAAAATCTACACCTGAATTTTAATTTTAAAATAAGAATAAAAATTTTAATTTTCTTTTATTAATTCTTTTACTGTCGGTAGTTTTAGTCTTATATGTTACACAAATTCATGTTTCTTAAAACAGAAAAATAGTGCACTGTACTTTTCTGAAATAACTATTTTATCGGAGAATATTCACCAGCAAACACATGTAACATGTTTTTTCTAATGTAAAGACGAATATGTTTTTTTTATTTTCTTTTATTGGGTAGTTTTATTCAGAGGAAATAAAACCATTTATGTTGACCCCCTCTTTTTTTTCCAAAAAAGTTACACCGGTACCTGGGGCCGATTTGTCGATTTATCGGAACATTTTCTTTTACTCTGTAGAATGACTGATTTGAACATTAACGTCGCTGCACTTTCCGATTGCTGTAAATCTGATAACTCATTCTGCATGGGATTCTTAGCATGTCTCATGATAATCAAATGTAGGAAGAAAATGGCTTAATCAATTTTACACCTCCCCCTCTTTACATAATTAACAAAAAACTGATGTAAATCTGAAAACCAGCTGGAACATTCAATGATTTTTTTTCTTGTAAATGCAGGTTGAAGACTTCGAATTCAACACAAATCAGCTATTGACGTCACATCGGGAAAAAAAATTTCAGAGGAAAAAGTGAATGAAGGACGTGGAATATTGCAAATAATTCATTCATTTAAAAAACCTCAAACGGTGTCAAGGCCTTTTTAATACTTACATGTTTCTTCTATTATTTAAAAGGGGGTTTTATCTTTGAAAATGTTGTTTGCATTCTTAAATGAAGCTAATTATTGTACGGTTGTCAGCTTTAGTTAGTCTTGCCTCAGACTTGCACCTCGGTTGCTCTCAGTGCATTCCATAGATAATTAAACAATTTCGTGTTTAACCGTCACTTTTTAAATTAGCTAAATTACTCAAATACTTGTAATTTTGAATTTTGAGTTTAAGTTTAAACCTGATTGAAATATTTTAAATATTCCCAAGTTTGTACGTAAAGAAAAATCCAATAATTCTTATATAGTTTGAATATAATAATTGTAAAAATTAAGTACTTTGTATGAACTATTATACATGTACTCTTGTAAGTAAAATGATTCATTGATAATAATTAGATGAAAATTAGGAATGCATCAAAAATCTAAAAATGAAGATTTCATAAAAGTCATGCTACTTACAGAAGGTAATCTTCCTTATCTTCCGTCTCAGCCAGGAGATAAGAATTCCGGTCAAAGTATGACATTTTTGCCGAATCTAATTATTGTTTTATCCTAAATCAAGATTTCTTTTCACATTTGGTCCAAAACTTTCACATAAAGTATTACCTAACAGTGTCTGCTTCATCGCTGCTGTGCATCACGGCATTCAGAATTTTAACCAGTATCGTTCCGCCTTTGATTATCCGCGGACTTGCTCCAAAGAAACCTCACTTCCGTTGCCAATTCTTGTTCTATGTCACCAGGCAACTTGTTATAATCGATTGGCTGATATTAATATAACCAAAAAAATTACGTTAAGAACACCGACGCATTTTTACGCATTTGTTGTTTTAGAAAATCTTAAATCTCGTTCTTTCCCTAGATGACATGCTATTTACAGAGTCAAATTCAAAATTAGATGGTTGTCAACGGAAATCAACCCAGTTAATCTTAACGTCATTAGAATGCTTTAAGTGGCAAGATCACTTAATCCTTAAATCGAATGTTTGACTAGAAAGAACTCATCGATTGTATCTCAAAAGTTCCAGTTCTTCGTTTGTGGTATTGATTTGACTTCAAATATTAGTAAACTTTATTGCAATTTTGTGGGTTTATGAAAGCACGTCTTTGTAAAGAAATTAGTATATACAAGAAAGTGTAATTAATAAGCTAATAAAATTTTCTTTGCAATAGCATTCAAAGCACTAATTGGTTTTTCATTAGTTAACTTGTTCCAGTATCATAAATGCATAATAAAAGGCTCGAGATAAGGATTACGATTTAACTGCTAAAAAATCAAACACGCTCAGATCTTCGGTATGTTCCTGGTATGGATAGAACAACATTACGATAACACTTAATTTTGCCTATTGTTCTGAAAGATAACATTGGTAAAAGCATGCACGAGTCAAATTGCATACCAAATATTTTATGTGCAGACTTTCTAGCCATCATTTTGCTTTGTATACCATATCTATTAAGAATTAAGAAACATAAACTTGTAGAATAGATTAGCCCTATGACCCAGTTCTCAGTGATATTAAGCTTTAATTAACTGATAACAACCTCAAAAGGTTTCAGATTCTCCGATCTGAATGTATTAAATGTTTCCCTGGTTTACACAGGTTGTGCAAAAATTTGAACGTAATCATTTACGCATATCATACAATTCTTGTATATTCTTTGATTATTATCAACAATAACTCACACCATAATTTAAGGATAAACTTTAAGGAAAGCAGCATTTTTCCAATTCAGAAAAAACAAGCTAATTCAGAGAATTCGTGTCCCCCGCTTAGGGAAAAAGTCGGCTCCCCCTGACTGAATTTGTAGAATTATGAAATGTATACATGTATACTGAAGCAAATAAAATACATGTATATCAATATGCATATAAAGATTTGATTGCTTATTCTTTATTATGTGTATAGAAGATTTTTTTTTAATATGGAATGTTTATCACACTGTAATGATGATTTTATGACCTCATAAATTTTTCATTTCACATGCTGAATACTATCATTTTGTAAAAAAAAAAAAAAAAAAGTATTTAAAAAAAAAAAAAAAAAGAAAGGATTGACGGAGAAACCTCTCACATTTGAAGCGAGAGACATAACCACTAGACCATGGAATTGCTTTAAGTGAAGAATAAGAATTGAAGTCACATACATGTATATATTCATGTTTTCATGTTCGGTATTCTCAAAATTTTACACAATCCATGGTGTTTGATTTATTTAGCCTTTATTAAACAGTTCTAATAGATGTAATTAAAGTCCGCCGAGAACCTGTTTTATACGCAATAACTCTCCATGCCCCTGCGCTAAAAATAGCGACATGTAATACTATAAATACTAATAAAACAAACGGGGCGGGGCACTTTGAGAGGGGCGAGAGACGTCCTAGGGAGTTTTGGTATAAAATTACATTGCATAAGCTCAAAATCTTCTTGAAATATCGCCCGGAAATGATAGTATTATATACAGACAGAATGTATAAATTTACGACCTTGAACTTTGACCTTTTGACCTCAAAATCAATAGGGGTCTTTATTAGGCCACAGGGAGTTGTTATATAAAATTTCATTGCAATAGCTCAAATAGATATCGTGTGGAAACATGTTTTAACAACAGAATTTGCTTATTTATGACCTTGACCTTTGACCTTTTGACCTCAAAATCAATAGGGGTCTTCTTTAATAGGGAGTTGCTATTAAATTTCATTGCAAAAGCTCAAAGGGTTCTCGAGATATCGTGTGGAAACGAAAGCGTTACAGACAGACAGAAAGACGGACGGACGGACGGACAGACGGACGGACGGACGGACGGACGGACAAACCCAAATTAATATCCCCCACTTTTCAAGCGGGGGACAAAAAATCGGTTCTGACTTTATTTATTATTATTATCAATCCCCCTATACAGGACGCAAAACAAAAGATGATCCTTTGAAGTATTAAAGTAAGCCAATTTTAATCAAAACTTAATTACCTAATTGCAATGAAAACGTCGTTTATTCAATTCACTTAATAACACAGCAGTGTGTCTAGAGTATTACCCAAAACTTGGACTTAACTCATGATATATGGGCATTACAATATAGTTAATTAAAGCAAAATTGATTTTGAATTTTCTTATCACAATACTTCATTTTGCACGGTAGTTTATTGGGTTTGAATCACTTTCAGAATATCACTGATAATTTTTAAACGTCTTCATTGATTTGACGGGATACTGTATAACTCCTGTAGCTGGTCATGTAAATAAAATTCTTGTATATTTCTGTCTTCAAATTAGTTGAGGGTAATTGACCTATTGCAATGAATTCCTGTATTCATATGATTGATTCTTCATCTCCTTCCTTTTTTCAGAATATGTCTTCAAATTCAATTTTGCTTGTGATTACGTGTTTGTTCCCCGTTTCCTTGAGGGTGAGTTCGATAACCAGTTCAGTTTCCGTCAAGGTGTACTTGACTACGTAGATCTGCGGTTTTTTCGATTTGGCGGGAAGAATATTGTTCATCCAGACCTTACAAACTTCTTGACATGCTTCGTCCGTGATGTACTCAACACCTCTCTTGTCTGTCTTATAAACCGCAAACACAGAATCTGCGTAATTAATTGCCTCGATTTCTTTCTGAATCAAAGTACCAACCTTCAACTTTGTTCCAGCCAGTAAAAAGGGTTTAAACACACCACGACACCAAGTTCCACCGGCACTTTCTATTTTCAGATTCTCTGGGTGGACTCCCTTTTGAAAAGGAACTTTGATCCCTGATCCGTAAGAATGGCGTATTAACCTCTGGTCCATAATATTAACCGTGTGTCCAAGAATCACCGCCCCCTTAAGGACAGCTGTACCGGGTTCCTTCGGATACAGTACGTATCGTTTGGAGCTTTGATATTTTTGGAACATCGTCTGCTGAACTAGTTTCGATTCCGCAGTCCCGCCAACAAAAATCAACATCGCAACTGAAGACAGCTCTTTGATTTTGAATAAGGCATCCAAATGATTAACTATTTTGTCTGTAACAGTTTTGAAAACATCTTGGATTATATCCATTTCAAATTGCATTTTACCGGCTGTCATTTCAATTTTGCCCTTGTGTTTGAATTTTCCACTTTTTGTCAGTTCCGATATTGTTTTGTCATTCAAAGACTTATAAATCTCATTCAATCGTTCCGGAATATAGATAACAAACTTCTCTTTTCTATTTTTTTCTACAACAGGAACATTCTGCTTCAGTCTCTCAAATTGCTTCATCCATTTAACAAATTCATCACATGCTTGCACTCTGAAACGATCCATAGTGTCATCTCCCAACATTTCCGTCATGAATTTGACAAACGCTTCGTCTATGGCCATGCCTCCATAAGACAGTCCCGAGGGCTGGTATGCTTCTTTTATTTCTATTTTTGATACTCTTTCGTGAACTGTAATGTCTGTTGTTCCCCCTAAAATAGGGATAAATGTGTGGTTAGCATAAGTTAATGATTTTGTCTCATTTCACTTATAGTGATCGTAATTAGTTTTCTGGACATCTGTGAATTTATATCTCGAATCTCCTGCATAATTTTCATAATATTTGCTTGCTTTTTAAGAATACCTTACTACAATTCAGATCTCTTTCTTAGCCACAAGTAACAGAGAGGGATAAGACTTAGTATGCCTAGTATGTTCCTATGAAGGAACATTATTCGAACCCTTGCAAATAATGATCCAATTTCTGTGTTGAGGTAGGAATTTGGTTTTTCATGTACATAGAATAATACACATGCAAGGATTTCTCAACAAGAATATTAATAAGCCTAGTGTATGTCGTAAAAATAAATTGTATTATGTGTGCTTGATGCTACAAAGCTAAGGATATCATTCGAATCATATGCATGTACCAAAACAAGTACAACTTGATTTCTTTATCAGAAGAAATGACTATCCTTACTAAAATATTTGAAAACCATTCTTATGCAAATTTTGTATTTGCTATTCAAAAAAGAATACCTACTCTTTGTTTCTACTTTAAGTAATTTCATTTTAAATTCTTCGACAACAATAACAAATGGTAGAAAAATATACCTAAAAGATCCTCGAACCACTATTAGGAAATAGAATTAGCAACTGAACCAAAGAGTGATACTTATCTTCAATGTTCATTTGTCATTTAATAAATGTGGTTGAGAAAAGCCTATCTTTTTATTTGATGTTTAATATCATAATATTTTAAACATTTTAATGTATTAGTATTATATTTGTAAATTATTTAATGCATTTTTATTGCATTTAATGCATTTTCAAAATCAGATCAACTTCTGGTCTAAATGATTAATTTGGAATTTTTGAGAACGTTAATTGCAAGAAATATTCATAGTATAAACACTTGCCCTAAATATGTTCAAGAAAAAAATATGATTGGCTAAAGTTGAAATTATCTGAATTATTTTCTTTTGTAACTAGTGAAGATGCAAAAATAGGTTTTTCATAGTTAACATAAATATATAGAATTCAAAATTAAACATAGAATAATCATTTGAGCTTGTGGGCCATGATCTTTCATTTAAGTATTGCAAAATGAAATTAAATTCTCAATTTGTGTTTTTAACAAAGTTTTTTTTTTCCTAACTAGTGCAAGAAACAAGCAAAAATAGTTATTTTTGTAAAACATAGTTAATAAATATATAGGTTGTTTTTAATTTGAAAATTTTGTTTTATGTATCTATATAAATGGCATCATATTTCAAAAGATGATATAATTATTGATATTGTTTTTTTGTTCCCCTTCAAGGGAAATGTATTTTGTAGATGCTTCAATATAAATATGAAAATAGTGACTTTGATGTTCTTGAGAGGAATTTTTTTCTACAATTTCCTATACATAAACCCGTTAAAAGTTTGACGTCATCATATAAGTGAAAATTTCACTCTGGGCTTCAAATTTTAATTGAACCTTTTTTTACTATTTCAAGGCATTATATGGGGAGGCCACTGAGCAGTGTTAATTAAGTCGAAACTGTTTCAGTAGTTTTAAAGAAGCTGAAAAAATGATTTATTGTATATTGTTTTACGTTCCCTTGAAATGTTTTCACTCTTATAGAGACGTCATCATATAACAGTAGGGCCAAATTTAGTTTACGTTTAAGATTGAAAGGGGCTTTATCTCGGTTTTAATGTTTTAATGTCATAAAGTAGTGCCCACAACGCCAGGTGCTTGGCGAAGGAACAGTTACTACTATACAAACGAGAAGACTAATTTTTCAATCGTCAACTTCCTTTACTTTTGCAACAATATACCTTCACTACCTGCATACGGGGTTTATATCTCAATTGATTCGATACGCAAGAGCATGCACTACGTATGAAGATTTCTTTAACGAGATAAGTTATTGACAAGCAACTTACTGAAACAAGAATATCATCAGTCTCGTTTAAAGTCATCATTTCGTAATTAAAGTTTTATGGTCGATGCGATGACCTTGTCAGCAAATACAATTTATCTTACAAACAAAGATACTGAGTACATTGCGGGTTCCAGTAAATGTTCAACAAAGCCTCTTTCTTTACTCCTCAATAAGATATTGAGAGAAGTGAAGGAGAAACTTTAAGAGTACTGTGCAACAATATATTTAAGAAGTGGTGTGAATCAGATGTGGATACTCTTTTGGACAATCTGAAATCACAAGATACATGTATTACCAAAATCAACAGCTTAAAAACTTACGACTTTTCAATTTTATACAAAAACATTCCGCACGATATATTAAAGTCCAGGCTTTTGTTATTATTGACAGCTGCTTTTTCAATTAAAATGGAACTCGTAAATTTACTTACTTGGTCATTGGTCATTTAAAAGATTATTTTGTTAAATCACATTTTGATTGCACACATGCACACAAGTACTCTGAAGTTGACATCAAAAAGATGTTTGAGTTTCTAATTGACAATATCTATGTGGTTTTTGGAGAGCAGGTCTTCCAACAATCTATTGGAATTCCCATAGGTACCAATTGCGCTCCGTTATTAGCAAACCTAGTTTTGAATTCATATGAAGCAAAATTTGTGCAAAATCTTATGCATGAAAAGAAGAAAACACTTGCTGTGGCCTTCAACTCAACATTTAGATATATCGACGACGTATTGTCAATTAACAATGGTAATTTCCATTCCTATGTCGATACGATATATCTTGGTGAGCTTGAGATAAAAGATACCACAGAATCTGACAAATCTGTTTCATACTTGGAAAATTATCTTGAAAAAAACGTTAATGGTAATCTAACAACCAAGCTCTATGATAAACGTGATGACTTTAACTTTTCTATCGTCAACTTCCCTTACTTATGCAGAAATATACCTTCATCACCTGCATACGGCGTTTATATATCTCAATTGATTCGATACGTAAGAGCATGCTCTACGTATGAACAATTTCTAATAGGAGGTAAATTATTGACAAAAAAGTTGATGAAACAAGAATATCAACAGTCTCGTTTAAAGTCATCATTTCGTAAGTTCTTTGGTCGATACAATGACCTTGTCACCTAATACAATTTATCATTGAGTCAAATGCTGACTGACGTTTTTCATACTAATTGTTAGTCGATTATTTTTTCACTGAATTGACGACGGATATTTTCGTTATTTCCCGATCATGACAAGGAGCACACGGCGGGTGTGGCCGGTCAGCAGGGGATGCTCACTCCTGCATGGCACCTGGTTCCACCTCTGATGTTTTAGAGGTCCGTATTTGCTCTGCTCCTATTTTATATTGTTTCATGGACTTTGCTATTGAACTGTTCGTTATCTTCATATCCTTCATCATTAGGTCAAATACTGATTAACGTTTTTCATATTGATTGTTAGGCCAAAATATACACAATGAATTGTCAACGGATTTTTCCGTTCTTTCTCGATCATGACAAGGAGCACAGGCAGGTGTGACTGGTCGGCAGGCGAGTTCATTCCTCCAGAGCTTCTGATCACATCTCTAATGTTTTGGAGGTCCATATTTGCTCTGCTCTTATTTTGTATAGTTTGATAGACTTCTGAGCTTGAATACTGTTCGTTATCTCCATATATTTCGTACAGCTGTATTTCATCGACTTAAGTCAGTCTGGGTCGGACTTCGGGCCGTCGACCTTCCGAGCACGCAGCGAGTGCAAAACTGAGCTACCGTGACGTCACGACTACAAGGACAAAACAGTACAAACAATAAGGACAGATAATAGACACATTTTGATAAGAAAAACTCACTTGAAACTTCTTTTTGTATTCAAGTGAAACATAATTATTCAAAACTTCTCCGGGGGAAAAAGAAAACACAAAGGCCTTCAACTCAACATTTTGATATAACGACGATATATTATCAATTAACAATAATTATTAAATATCCATTCATATGTCGACTCGACTTATCCCCGAGAGCTTGGAATTAAAGATGCCATAGCGTCTGACACATTTGTTTCATACTAGTACATGTATTTGGATATTTGAATAATAACAGACGTTTATGGTTTACCTACCAACAAAGCTCTATGATGTATGTGATGACTTTCACTTTTCAATCGTCAACTTTCTTTACTTATGTAGCAATATTCCCTAATTTCCTGCAAACAGGGTTATTGTTTCTCAGTTGATTCAATCTGCAAGATCATTCTCTACTTATGAACAATTTCTAAAATGATACAAGCTTTTGAAAAAACGGTCGAGGAAACAATGATATCAACAGTCTCGTATGAAGTCATCTTTTCGCAAGTTTCATGATAAATACAATGACCTTATCCGCAAATACAACCTATCATCAAGTCAAATTTTATGCTGATTGAAGTTTTAATACAAATCATTATGTCATTATTTTTCAATTATTTGTCTATGGATTATTCCGTTTTCCTGATCATGACAAGGTGTACTCGGTGGTTGTGACCGGTCGGCAGGAAATGCCTACTCCTCCATGGCACCTGATCACACTTCTGATATTTTTGGAGGTCGGTGTGCTCTGCTACCGATTTGTATTGTTTAAATGGACTATGAGTTTGAATACTGTTCTTTAAATCTCCATTTTTCACTTGAGACTATAGCTAAGATGAGTTTAAACTACTGCGTCAATTGTAAGAGAAGTTAAAAGCTAAGATTAGAATACTACATAGTATAAATTCAGTGTGACAAAAGGAAAGAGAGGGATAACAGCAACGTACCTGTACTTTCAATAGTATTTAACAAGCTCAAAAGTCCATTGAACAATACAAATCTGGACAAGAGCAAGCACAGAACTCATCAGAGGTGGGATCAGGTGACAACAAGGAGCAAGCTTTCCCTGCCCAACGGTCACACCCGCTGTATGTTCCTTGTCATAATTTGGAAAAACGAAAAATTCAGTAATAGACAATCTAAGGTGAAACTAATGGTATAAAAAATTATAATTTTATGAAAAAATTTAAGTCAGCATTCGACTTAATGAAAGATTTTATTTGCTGACAAGTAGAACTTGCAAAATGCTGACTTAAACGAGACTATTGATGTCCTTGTTTCATCGACTTGTTTGTCAATAGCTTGCTTGTTTTATTAATTTTCGTACGTAAATTGTGCTCTAGCGTATCAAATCAACTTATGGGATACATAAAACCCATACGCAGGTGATAAGGGTCAACCGCATCTTCTCGAGTCTTTTCGGCAAGTTCGGACAACACCGAGAGTGTATTAACATGAACATCTAACTGAATATTAAAATTCTATACAAAAAGGGGTCGATTCCTTTTAGGTAATCATTGATTAGACATAGCTTATTGTATCGTAGATTTTAGGCAATATCCATACATTCAGTGTCTTTAATCGCCATACTGTACAGATAAGAGGTCTCCCTTCATTAATTGAAATCTTTCATAAAAAGAAAGGTTTTCGAGGTTGTTTTTTTCCATTTGTTGGAAAGGTCAAGATGATGCGATTAGATCAAACTGCTACAATGTGCATAAGTAGGGGTAGTTGACAGTTTAATTCATCACATTTCTCGGAAAAGTTTTGTTTTTAGGTTACCAGTAACTTTTTTTCTAATAAATATACAAATATGAAACGGATGTATCAGACTATGTGGTATCTAATATATCAACTTTGGTGGGATATATCGAGTCGACATTAATCGAAATACAGTAACCGATTGATAATTCGTCGACGTCATTTCTATCTAATTGTCAAGCTGAAAGCGAGTGTTTTCTACTCGTGTGTGAGTTTTGAAATATATTATGCTTCATGTGAAAACGTGTACCGAGTACAATTGCCATCCATGGGAGGGGAGGACTTTCGACAGGACTTGGATTGATTGATTGATTGATTGTATACTGTTTAACGTCCCTCTCCAGAATATTTCACTGATATGGAGACGTCACCATTGCCGGTGAAGGGCTGCAAATTTAGGCCTATGCTCGGCACTTACGGCCTTTGAGCAGGGAGGGATCTTTATCGTGACAGGAGTTGGAAGTCCTAATCTCGAAGACCTAGAAATTGGTATATTGCTAATCAGAGACTCGTGCGTCTTCTTACAATTAACTTTGCAGTTCTTGTGTGTACAAATAAGACTGCAGTTAAAAATAATACTGACTAAAGAATCCTGGATACCTTGTAACTATTATTTTTTTTAGCATTTAGCTTAAAAATTAACAAAAATGTTCATTAGGAAACCTCATGTCAAAGTTTCCCTAGCTTTGCATATTTTAAAAATGTCATTGTTTGCAGTTAAGTGTGAAGTTTTACGTTACGTCACGATCTAGGTGACAGCTGCGCTCAAAGAAAATTGTACACGCCTCCTAACCGCAAGCTTTACGACTGGAACTTTCTTCTCATTCCTGATTGGTTGCTCGTGCAACAGACTATTTCCGTGTCAATGTTAATAATATGAGATGCCCAATCACGTACATGTATATTGTTTACGCTGGATGCATCTGACGAAAAAGATCGTTACGTAACGCAAAACTTCACACTTAATTGCAAACTATAATAACATGATGTAAAGTATATACTTATTTGTGAATTAAAATGCCTAAAAAGGCAAATAGATAAAGAACAAATTAATGGTATTTTTAAAAATGGATGAAAATAAATAAATGATCAAGGCAAGGCTGGTGTCAATATTATCGAGCCATTTTTATGAAGATATAACAGAGAATACTACAAATGTACCTCCAATATCTATGACCATATACTTGGTCCCTACTGGCTGTGAATCTAAGCCTTTATGTCCCTTGTCAGCTTTAGCGAAGATACAGAAGACGGAAGCGGCATCAGCCTCACTGATGATTATCAGGTTGGAGTTGGGAATTCCAGCCTGCAAAATTAAAGGACATTTTTCTAATAAAATTTCAATCTGAAAAAAATATTTAAGCATATTGAAAAAATGACCTGCTTCTTCCTAGGCCAAAAAAAAAAACTTTTTTGACGATTTTTAACGAAAAACCGTTGCTCTATGCATAAGAGTCTTGTGTTTTCCAACTTTAACGCTGATACAGCTAGAGAAATGCAATTATACATGCCTTATTAGCTGCCGATTTCATCAGGTTTTTTGCCTCTGTGTCCCAGATACTGGGCACAGTAAGAACCCATTGGACTTCTTTTTCTTTCATACTTGGCTCGTAAAGAATGAGTTTCTGCTGCGCGTGAGATTTGATGTATTTTATGGTCTCCGTGACAACCAAAAGTGCAGAAACTTTCTTTCCAATGGCATCTTCAATTTGCAGACTTGGGGTAATCTTTTTGAATGAAAAGGGAAAAGAGTTCCAAGACGGAAATTATACATGTTTCATGCAAATTGAACGAAGCGTTAAAACAAGTACACGATATTTTTATTGCTATTCAAAAGTCCATTCAGGAATCAGGAAGTTGCTGAACGAGCCAGCGTGAGATTTGATTATTGGGTATTGGTTTCGAGACTTAGGTTTGAGAAATCACCAGGTATAAAGCTGCCCCTTAGATCTTTTTTCGGATTCTAAGCACATAAGACCATGAAATAGATTAATCATTAATTCATCAATTGACCAGATCTGGCAGTTTTATTAGATTAGCGTTTATCTGTATTAATTTTCTAGCGATCACGATGAAAACCGAAGCCTTATATAGAAAAAAAATATCTAATTTGTAGGTTGTGTTTCCGTATACCAACAGAGAAACTGAAATGGTGCGGAATTTTCAGTTATTGATCACAAAATTGCAGAATAAAAATCGTTGTATATGCATTAAAGGTTTAAATTTTATTTTGAAAAATCTTTAGTTGTGTATTTTTTTAAATAATCAAAGTAAGTAAAAAGACAGTAAAAGCTATAATCTCATATTCGATGCAAGCTTTTTTAAGCTTGAAAAAAATGTGTAGTAAAATACAGATTTTATACCTATTTATCCAAGCTTTTTACTTTTACAATTTTTCATTTTGATTGTTTTCGACATGGTAAAAACAAGACAAATACATGTTGTTGGCCGATTTTTTCTCTTTAGAGTGATTCTAATAGGCTTTCATAGTTATGTACTATTGCAATAAAAGGAAAGAGATTTTGGTACTGACCTTGTTTTTAAATAGTTGTAATTTGAACCTCTCAAAATAATACCAGTCCCTGTGCAATCCCTCTGCAGCTAATTCTGAGTACTTATTTTCTGCCTCGTAGCCGAAGGCGTTAAAGGTCATCTTTGGGTCAAGCAGTAGGCAAGTAGGCGCTTTAATGGCGAGAAGGCCCTGTGACTCCTCTGTCCATTTGTTGTTTAAAGTTACTTCCATCTGGTCTGAGCCTAAATCGCCTAAAATCTTGTATGCGTATCCTGTCCCTGTGGTTCCGATGTCTATTGCAACACATGCCTTGTAGTTCGTTAGTGGTTTGTGTGCCATAACGAAAGTAAAAATAGCTGGAGAAGTTTCTGCAGACATTCAAATTATTTAGAATTATTTTAATGTATTCATCTATGCATTTTGTTGGGGTAAAAAAAAAAGTCTATAGGTCAAGATAAATAAGTTTAGCGCGTTAAATGGAAATGATTTAAACGTGATTTCTCACATCATAGATTGAATAGACATTTGGGAATAAAAAGTATGCGTATATATATTATAGTGTCTAAAATAGCTAAATATAAATGAACATTGATATATGAATATCAAGAATAATGAACATTTTATCCATTCATTAAAACATATTTCAAACCTACCTTCAGAAATCCAGACTTGACTCACTGTTCAAAAGAGTGCAACCACATGGAACACTCAGATGCAATTTAATTTTTTTTCCCTGAACAATTTAACAATGGTTTAAAATGCATTCAATTAAGTTGGAATTATACAAAGAGTTTTCTTTCTGAAAGCATTGTTAACTTTGTTTATCAGTAATATCGCTTTTCTTTCATTCATACCATTACGTTTTGTGTCACTCAAAAAAAAGTTTGCTTTAAAAAAAAGTTTGACGTTACTTATTTTTCTTTTAATAAAAAAAAATATACACATACCTAATTATGTGATATGTGTATATATTTTATTTTATTAAAAGAAAAATAATTACTAACGTCAGGTGCCTGTGACATGTATTTATTAACCTAAATATTTTTGGTACTCTGTAAACAAAAGTGATTCTATGATCATTCTCTCTCTCTCTCTCTCTCTCTCTCTTATGAATACGAAAATAAATTTAAAAGGCATCCTTATAATATCAAAGATACCCTATATAATCGTATTAATGATATCTTTTAAATATTCTATTTTTTTTTTAGTTTCTCTCGTTGAAAGATAAACATGTACTTGTATTTATATGTTAGTGTAAAGCATATACCCCTTGTTAAATAAAAAAAAATTAACTTAAATTCAAAAGATCATTTCTTGTTCATTATCTATATTTGATGCTAGTTTCTGGTTTGCTATGTAAAAACAAAATTTAAGACAAAGTTCTTCTAATTAACATTTTTGCAGCAAATTTCAGTGTCAGGAATTTTGTAACGGGGGGGGGGGGGGGGGGGGGGCAGTTCTGGCGGCTGTACTGAAGCCCCCAGTGGGTCTAAGGCAAGGTTCTTTTGGGGGTCCGGAGGCGAAGCCCCGGAAGTTGACAAGTTCTTACAAATAAGAGATATGTTTTTTCCTTGATTTTAGGATAATGGACATATAAATTTTACCTACAAAAATTTCAAACGGGGGGGGGGGGCACGCATGGCGCGACGGCCCTGGATCCGCCTTTGAATTTATCTTGTCTTACGACTGTTGAATTCGTTCTTTCTTTTTAGTCACGCATTATCTGAACTCCTTAGAATTAATACAACAATCATGGTCCTACATATTATTAGTCCACTTATGCAAAAAATATAATTGTTTGAACTTTCTTGGATATATCTTAATATTTTTCCATCTGTTTCATTATCAACAAACCTTAAATCAACTAAAAAAAATTTACCGATTCATAACATTTTGCACAGTATAATAGAATAAAGCACATTTTCACTTATATTAAAGTATAACGAAATCAACCACAGTGTTTAAAATGAACAGTGTCGATGATCGGAATTTTAAGAGTAATTTCTCCAAAGAAGAGAGACAATTTTTTCAAATCATATACTTTTCTATTTGGGAAAATAACACAGAAGCTATAAAATATTATGGTTATTCAATAACTCACATGGTCATTCTATTATGTTAGTATTTTATGCAATGAAATTATCACCATTCTGAATCTAAAGAATTTAATTCAGCAAGCATGTTGGATGTTTTTTCTGACTCAAGATGACAAGGACACACTAACAAGTAAACTTTCTTTATTTCCGTGTATGTATAACATTGTGATATTCTGTTATCATCTGCATATTGTGTTTTTGTCTCAACTTATTCACTACTCTTTATACGATCATGTTTTGAACCGAGGCAGGCTACATGCACATAAGCTGATGTAACAGGAGATTTAACAACCTTGTTTTAGGTCAGCATTTCATAAATTCTATACTCATTTTAAAGACCTTATTAGCAAAAATAACCTTTCACAGGGTCGTATATTGGCTTACTTGTTTCATTCCAATTGTTTTGCCTTTGTTTTTTTGTACTAAATTTGACTATGGAATGTTCTTCTAAAGCGAGTGTGACAACAGGTCAACAGGGGGTTCTTACTCCTCCTAGGCACCTGATCCCACCTCTGGTATTTTCAGGGGTCCGTGTTAGTGCCCTGTTTGTATACTTATAATATTTGCATATTTTATGAGATTGTTCATTTTTCATTATTTTCACCCTTTTCATTATATTTAAGGATAAAAACTTCTAAGTTGGAAGCACTTGTTCTGTGAAGTAATAAAATAAATTTCAAATACATTATTGTTTATTTTTTTTATCAAAAATTATACATTTTTGTAGCATCACTGTTTTGTAACAAAATAACATCTCATGAAATAGATGGTGCATGCTGAAGTACCCTGAAAATAATGAACAGCACAAGACATTGTTGGTAATCAGGTATAATGTAGACTAGCAACAGTAAAAATGTTAGAGAAATTTCATTTTTTTGTTCTTTTGCAAAAATATTACTTTCAGTTCAAAAAAGGAGGGTTTTTTTTTTTTTTAAAAGTTGTATGAAACATTTCTCTAAAGGGAATTGACCTAAATTCTTGTGAAAATTTAAGTGATACATGTATTTCAACTATGTCTAACATGCATTTGTATCATTAAAATATTTCTTGCACATGTCCTGTTCATCCAATCTACATTACAACTGAAAAAAAAATTACTTATGCAGACATAAAATAAATCAAACAATGTTGATGCTTGTAATATTGAGAATAACAAAAATTGAAATTTGTCAAATTGCGTAGCTATACTTCATAAGGTGAGGGTTTAAAAACTGAAACAGAAAAAGGGGTTATTTCCCCTAGTCTCTGAATAATTTAAATTATGTAAACTGAGTCAGAATATTTGTATTACAGCATTAGTAAAAACTATGTACAACAGTTAGACCTTTTCTAAAATTTAGCACTATAAAATTATATGTAAATTCTTTAACAAGTGTTAAAATAAAAATATTTAAAATATACACATACATCATAAATACATACGGTTTTAAAAAATAACAACATTAGATATAAAATATGGAATGTCTATAAAAAGTCTTCTTTATGGAATTTAAAAAAAAAAACATTCCAGAAACAAAGAAACTGTAATTCTTTCTACTTTTTGTCATCTTAGTACCGACTGCAAGTCACTGTCAAATATAAGTACAAAGTATACAAAAAATACTATAAATACTTAAAAAATGACTTGACTGAGATCCATTAAATCAAATAAGCCACAAGGTAATATTTGAAATATGCATACATACATACACAGTAGACCAGGTTTAGAATGGTTAAAAATCATTTTTTCACACAGTCTGAGAGACTTCTTTAAGTTTTCTCCCTTGAGCTAACTATTTTTATATTTACAAAATGCATAATACCACACTGGCAGTGTTGTGAAATGCTTGAAAAAAAAAAATGTTTGAGAGAATACTTGACAGTGTGCCTTTGAGGCAGGTGAAAAATGAGAATTGAAACAATAAAGTTATAATGAAAACCTCTGGATACTACATGTGCACCGGCTGCATTACATGCTTATGTGTAGACAATGTTCATACAAAAGTTTGTGCTTATGAATTGGGAGATAAGTATTTCATAAACTTAATATTTACCAACAGGTGCTTTAAATAATATGGATAAGTTACTAGATGAAGGTGAGACTTTGTATTGGAAGACATGTTTTCCTTCATGACGGCAATAATTTGAGAGTGAATGCAATGGATTTGAAGGAAGCGACAGCTATAAAATGGAGGCTTTTCTGAGATTGTCTCTGAGTATGGAATCCATGACGACCTGAAAAACCACTTGAATATTGCTTGTATCCGTGGCGGTGGTGAAATGTGGATAGATGACTTTGGACGCTACTGTATTTTGATCCATAAACTGTTGCTGAATAAATATGGCTGCTGATTTCACATCTTTGTCTTTCCCTACAAGGAACAAAGATAGTAAAACATGGTTATGAAGACTTGCTTAAAAGGACTTCTTGCTATGAAGGAATTTATACAAATAATGCAGAAGACTTTTTGCCATGATTTTTACACAGATATCAAGAATATTCATGGTTATTGGAAAGCAAAATTCCAGGTTTCAGTAACTTCCTTATACAGTGGAGCCTCATTTATCCAGACGCTTTGGTTCCCAGTCAATTTGTCCAGATATGTGAAGCGTCCAGATACCTGAATCACCAGTTAAACAAGACAAAATAATATTAAAAAATTCCGTTCCGAAGAAAAATCGTCCGGATACTGAAGCATCCGGATATCTGAAGATCCACTGTATTTACATCCACTGAATATTTTCTCCTTTATTTCTTACCAAAACCCATTGCGTTAATCACTGCATGAACTACATTAGGCATGTCGCCTGTACAGATTATTTGATCAGTGGCTGTTCCATCAATGAAACGTATAAAGATGTTCGCATCATTAATACAATAATTAATCTTTTTAATCCTACTTTAAATGATTATTTAAACATATATTAATATAAACAATAAAATGTTTGTCTTTGTTTGTTATTACTGGAATTTACGGTCGCAGCTCTTTCAGAAAAAAAATTACATAACCCGCTTACGCGGGTTAAGTATTTTTTCTGCAACAGCTGCTTCCATTAATTCCAGTAATAACAAACAAAGAAAGCATTTTATTGTTTAAATAAACATTCAAGATATATTTTTAATTTCTATTTCTGTTAATGCCTCAAGAATGCTTCTTTTAACCATTACTCAAGAATATTACATAGCATGTTTAATGTAGACTTAATAATGCTATAAACTAAGGCTTTTATTTCCCCTTCAACACTCAAATGCACTTGAAAACATATTCAAAACACTTTTTATTTATCAAAGCTAAACAAAAACTCTTGTCAACTCTTTTTCATAAATAAAATATTGATATATATAAACTCACCTCTATATTCTTCAAAGAAAAGCCTTAAATGTCGACCAGAATAGCGAATTTTATCTTTGAACAAATCCAGCTTATTAAGAAAAAGTATCTGCAATATAATAATACAAATATATTCAATGCATTGACAGAGTAAGAGATCTATTTATTTGACAGAAAGAAGAGTTATTGCCCTTACCATAGCTGCCTCTCTGAAGAATCTATTATTGCATATCCCCCTAAACAGACTTAAACTCTCACGAAGACGATTCTGGGAAAAAACAAAAAACAACAGCACTGTAAATTTTAAGGCAGAAAAAACAAAACTTGTCTGGTGTCTTTAAATTTCAAATTAAATTCAAGAATAAATTCCAGCACACTGTATATTTGTATTTACATCAAAATTTAATCAAGGTAATAATTTAATATTGTCGTACCACATCAGGGTCTTCATATAAGCACATGTCATAAGCACTAAGCGCCACCACGAAAAGAACGGCCTTGACACAGTCAAAACACGAGATCCACTTCTTTCTCTCTGACCTTTGACCCCCAACATCAAACATCCTATAACAAAAATGTTATTCTTTTAAATAGTGCATCACTCTTATGAAATTTTTTTTCCCACATAAAAAACTGATTTGACAAAATTTCATCTTCAATATTTTTTTTTGTTTTGTTTGTTTGTTTGTTTTTTTGGGGGGTGGGGGTGGTGTTACCTGATGACGACGTTCTCGATCTTGAAGCAGGTCTCTAGGACCCCCGTAGTCCTGACCCTGACCCTCAGCACATCTTTAGAGTTTGGCACAAATTCTGGCTTACATATCCTGTCCATATTTTCAAAGTAACTGAAAAAACAAAGGAACAAAGGTATGCTTAAGAATGTTTTCTCAACAGTCTTGGCTTGAATTTTAAAGAAACAATGTTTTGGATGTTAATAAATGGTGATAGTTACCTATACTTATAGTTTACAACAATTTAGTTTTGTTTTTAGGTTTTTTTTTTATCTTATTAGGAGAATGTCAAAGGTTTTTGCTTCCATCACTTTCTGATCAAAATACAACTTTCAACTATTATCAACTAAAATTTGTACAGATAAGGCAGGTGAAATTTTTAAGAATACAAAAATGCAGATGAAGCAATTCAAAAAATGCAAAGTCATGTCAGATTCCTAAGATGGTTTGAATTTTCTTTCAGGTAAATCAATTATATAACATCTGGCCTTTTGATGTCTTTGCATAACTTTAGGATAATATATGCAGGTACATTATGAAAAACTTCAGTTTGAAATTCATATATGGTACCCTTGCCATATGATTTCTGTTTGAAATTCTATCTCTTTTTATTACCTATTCAATAGACCTACTTAAAAACAAACAAGCAAACATACAAAAATTTTGTTGAAAGGATCACAAATTGAACCAACTTATTTGCAAAATTGTTGAATAATTTTTTTCTTTGTCATTCCCTATATAAAAATAAATGGGCTGATGTCATAAAGAAAATGTAGCTAAGCTAAATATGCTAAAAACTTTGCATCTTGCTGATGGCATAAAGAAAACCATGGACTGTTGGAGGTAGGAACCTGGCATTTATCAAATTCTCAAATGGTACAAGCCTGGGGACAAAGCTATAATGACGTGGTTATTAATTTCATTGCTGATCTCAACTCCAGATGGTTTAAAAAAAAATGTATCATTCAGGATTGGGAGAAATTTATTTCACTTAAATGAACACTATAGTACTTAATGGTACTGGGAATTTGTTTTATCAATATATATAAAAACAGTTTTACTTAATTCTGTAAAAAAAAAAAAAAAAAAGAAAATAAAAAGAGTGTTTTTATTACATATGTAAAGATTTAAATTACTAAAATTTGTCACACATCGAATAAAATGAAAAAAAAAAATTTTTTAGTAAAGCAGGGAACAAAAATTGGATTCACAATATTGAAGAAAGTGTATCTATAACCAAGAGATATAAAAAGTCAAAACTCATCAAAATGAGGATGAAAAACCCAGACTTACTAAATAGCTGAATCATTGAGTTCGTACTCATATCCCCTTGACACTGCGTTCCTCACCCCTCGGTCCTGCCATAAGGCCCGGAGAGCTGTATACACCTGTGGAATCATGTCATGTCGTTTGTCAAAGCAACACGTACAAGTTAAAATCACCTGAGCATGGTGCTGAAAATTCAAAATAAAATCAAGAGTACAAATTACTCATCAAGAACAGGCTATTCTTGTTACTTTTTTTTTTATATAGGACAAATTATTTTCTTCAAGTTGTTCATTGCATTTCTTATGAGACTTTCTGACTATATACGTAGTGTACCAATTACGTTAAGTCAAATATAATTAAAATGGTCAATTTTATTTTCAAAGCTCTGAATGAAAGCATCATAATGTGACATGATTTCTTTTAATATCTAATCTTATTTACCCTGTTCTTTGGATTTTCCAGGTTAATACGAAGCAGTCCCATTCCAGTGAGAACATACTTCATAGAGCCCAACAAATTGTCAAGGACTGCTGGCTGTAATTTAAGAAAGAAGAAAATTTAACATATAATTTGGCTGAATTCATTATGTTCTTTTTTATATAATATCATATTTCTGTAAACCAACTACTATTCAAAAGTATTGTTTGTCGAATATACCAATATACCGGATCAAGTCGTCGAGTTTTTTTTTTTGAAAATGCACAAGATTTTATTTCAGGTTGGCTGAAATTCTATAAATTGTAAACAAAAACTTTTCAAATGTCACCTGATATATTTTAAGATCTACATCTGAAATATCAAAAGATCTAGGCTAACAACCTGAAAATTAGTTGACACGTATTGTAATGGGCATCAACAAAATCTAACTCCTGCAAGATGCAGATGGTTTAATACTGGGAAGGCTTTAAGCAGCTCATAAATAAGTACTCATATTTTCTAACTACTGTTTTTGAAATATGCAAATTATTAAAAAAAAAAGAAAGAAGAAGAAAATCTCTTCCTAAATCAAAAGGAGTTTTTTTTGGAACAACTGAGAGCATCGATCTTGACTTGCAGTTGGCAGAGGCGAGCACCATCAAAACTCACACCTGAACAAAATAACTATTTAGCCACGCCTGAGATAAATGCAATACCTACATGTATATAAGGTAACAAATTAATTAAAACACACAACATCTGTGCTTATATCAATCTTCTTCAATAACTTCTTTCAATTTAGGTTACATCAACAAAAGCATCAAATTACACTGTAAACAAGGCTCTTATTGCCTCTAATGTACCAAAGTTACCTATACATAAAATTTACTGAGAGCCACTGGTTTCAAAAGATCAATTCTTAGACAATAAAAACCTAAATCATAGTTCTGAAAGAAATAATTGTGTGTATAACAGCTGTGATCAGCAAAATAGAACGATTGATGTTTCTTTCAAAATTCTGTGTAGGCATTTACAATTATATTTGATGTATTTATACTCAAAGTTTACATAATACTGCACCTACTAAAAGCTTAAATATATCTGTGTCCTAGCTCTCTTGGACATTAAAATATGTTTTACAAAAATAATATTTATTTTAAAGTTTTTCTCTCAATATTCTACTGAAATATTATCTATGCTTCACTTTTTCTTTTCAAATGAACAAAAGTTATGGAAGAAACATTTTTATTCTTAATAAAGTCCATTAATTTCCCTTTTTCTTGAAGTACATGTACTAGTTCGATCTGTTTAACTTTTTTTTCAGATTATATTCTCGGAAAAATGGAAGAGAATCGCAGAGCTTTAAATGTGTTGTAAACAAACCCTGAATTTCCCCCATAAAAAACTGGAATGCATATAAAATATTTGATAAAATCAATGTCTGAAAGGTTTTTTGATGGAACAACAGAAATCATATTTCCTCATAAAGTACATTTACTAATTGCACTAATGATGCTGGAAAAAAATTAAGAAATCAATTTCTCATAACTCTATAGATGTAATCTGGAAATCAATGACGTTGCAGCCAATTATAATAAAATGAATTGATTTTATTGATGTACGTTGGCTCAGTAAATATTTAAAATACATGTACTTCTTCCAAAGACTTCAAGAGTTTTTGAATATTTTTTAATTAATAATTTAAATCACATTACTGCAAATTTGATTTTCGAAAATTCAAAAAGATATAAAGACATATCAAGAAGCTATAGGTACAACTTGCAACTTTGTCTATTAAAGAAAAAAAACCTTCCACTACATTATATATTTATAAAATTCTGTTGGAATTCAGGCCTTGACAATAACAATGATATTCTAATCATTGCTGGACACCTCTCTCATCATTGAGTGTCATTATCAAAATAGCGTGTAATCCAGCAATAAATTTGATCCTGACACCATGTGAACCTTTTGTAATATGGGCAAAATACTGTAGCCGAATAGACATGAAAGACCATTGTGTATCTGTTAAGTCCCAACATTGTTGTGTGGGCCCTGGGGGGATGTTTTGATACTGTCCTAATCGCATTTTTCATCTTTTTCACTGATGGCCATTTTGTTGAGAAGATCGTTTATGAGTTATTTTATTTGGGATAGTGTCAGTCTGCCCCCAAGTTTAAGACCGTTCATAGCCATTCTATAATACATTGTATATGAATGATAAATATTTGATGAATGGTATCTATTTTTCAATTCAATGAATCGGGAAAATTATTGACATTTAACTTTTCCCTGGATATTTGAGAATTGTATTGATATTATTTTTATATTAAAATAAAGTAAAAAAAAAAATCTTTAAATTGAACACTATTGACAAAAAGTCAAAAGGATTAGAAACACATTCTGAAACTCAGATAGTCTTATCCTCATACAGCCAAATATGTGTATATATTCACTTCAACAATTATCACCAGCAAATTTAGTAATTCTATTAAACTTATTTGAAAAAAAAAATAAAAACATTATAATGTGGCCATTATATATCCTAATAAAAAGAACATGATTGCAGGAATTGTCCAAAGTCAAATATGAAGAAATTGTTGAAAGCCCCTCCCCCTTTTTAATCATGCACTTTGAAGTAACATAAAATCCTATTTTTTATGTGGGAAAAACAAGCAAAATATCAAGGAGTATTTTCTTGCCTGTTTACCTGAGTATCTACCAATCAATATTTAAATGCATTTAGCAGCCATTTTACTTTCCTGACAAATACTTCCTTAAACATTTTTTATCGGTGAAGTTTGAAGCGGTCCAAATCATTTATGACTCCTCAAATATACCTTATTTTTTAAAGATCATTCTGTACCTTTCTTTAAATATTTTGACGAGGTTCCTGAAAGCATACAGGGGTAATTAGAAGGTGGACTTATTATATAAATGTAATAATATTGCAGCACCATTTGGCAATGATTATGTTAGAGACCTATGTGCACTTGTTAGCAGGTGCCTACTGCTACTGTATAGACCTAATGGTCTAGGGAATGTTTACATGCCATTTTAAATTTCTACTTCACATAAAAATGTTGATGTTTTGTAGTTCTGTGGAGATTGCACATCATTTAATCAAACCTTTCATGAGATCCCTGATTCTACTGTAATGTCTACGTAGGTGTTCAATCGTTTATAATTCCTTACTAAAGCACTAATTTTTTTTTTTGAAAATATTTTATACTTCTTAGATGAGAATTATTTGAGACCTGAATTAATACATGTCCTCTAAATGTCAATCATTCAAGGGTCATCTCTGATGAATGAGATCACTCTCTATTTTTGCCACTATAGGACACCTTAACTGACCAGGTATATCATACATCCATAATCTGTCCACTATTACAACAAATTTCCATATCACATGCCCAAAAAAATACCTTCTCTGGTCAGTGGCTAGCATAACATTGATTTATGACTTTTTTAACATGGAGACCTCTATTAAGGAGAACTGTACCACTTCCTTTTAAGGGGACATAAATCTTGCACTTTACATAGATGTTAACATGTTCAGGTGAAATCAGAAGTGTGCCCACATAATGTAGATGCTTTGTTTGTCCATCCCCCACTAACAAGGTATTTAGTGTTCGACACAAAGGGTTTATTGCCTTCTAATGAGACCCTAGCTGATAGGTCCTCCTTATGGAGAAGTCGAGAGGACAGAGTATTCTACAAGCCTCACTGACAAGTTACATGTGAAATCAATCTAGAGGTCCTATTTCATTTCTGGAGAGGGCTGTTTGCTTTATTGCTCACCTTTACAGAGTACCACAATTGTACTGTGTTTAGAATGAACAACTTTGCTCAATCTTTACCTTAAATGACCGCAGCTCATCGAATGAGAAGCCATCGTTGTGGATGATCTTCATCTGTTTCACCAGGGTACTCTTTCCTCCTTCTGCAGCCCCTGTAAAATTATAAACACATCAAGCACTGATTGCCTAAAGATCTTGTGCATTGTTAAAGAATGACAGTCAACAAAATTTCAAAACTTTTCATATGAATCCAGTCCCAATTAAGAATTTAAAAATGTGTGATGTGTTATCATCTCAAACTTTAATAACAGGCAGTGGTCAGCTATACTAAAATTACACATATGATTTCTAAATATAAAATTAAGTTCTCCTGCAATGCAGCTCATTAGTAAAACATATAAGGAAGGAAGTTTCTTGACTTCAGTCTCATAATCATTACATATTTCAAACCCCTATATATGGCCCCCTTTTCTTTGACTCATAGAATTAGTTAAAAAATATACTTCATCAATATTTTTCTGTTTTTATATTAATGCCCTTTTTTAACCTGCAGATTGCTATATTGTAGGTTAGGAATTTAAGTCTGTTTAATAGAATACAGTCTATAATTTAATTTATCTGAAAATTTGATTTCTTTCATACAAATAAAGAACAGACAAACAATTTAACTGAAACAGATTGATATTCTGACTGAAGATGATCTCATAGATATTCATCTAAAACATTTCCATTCAATATCTTTTTTAGAGATATCATTTGTGTAGGCTTAAATTTAAAAGAACATTAAAGCCTGCTGAACTATGAAATACTTGTGACTTTCAATCCAATAATTTAATCTTGTATTTTAAAGCATTCAAGGAATGTTAGGAATGTCAAGTTGTTACAAAATAATCAATGTATTGGTTGCAACTCTCTCAACTGATTGCTAGCTTACGTACACAGTGTCAGTAAACATTTACCTGATTTTGATTCTAAAATATTGGTAAAACTATTGAAAATACCATGTTTCATCATCTTCCATTTATTTAACCAAAAACATGATCTTGTACATACAACACTACTCTTTACACAAGCAACTACAAAAACTTCTTACTGGAGTCAAATTGTTAACAAGTTTGTACTAGATAAAAGCACAATGATAAATCAAAGATTCTGGAATATTCTGAGTATAGGAGAGACAATCAAATTCAATCTTTATATATTCTTGTAACCAGCAATGAAATATAAGAATATAAGTCATTTAAAATCATAATTTTAAATTTCTTAAATTGCTGGAAGTCAAATATTACCCTAACGATGTCCTACAGTCAGTGTGCATGTTTTTAAGTAAAAACTTTTGAAAAGCAATGAAAATCTCTTTAACGTACATGAAGGGATCACAGTGTTTTGAGATGTAAAGAGTATCTTCCACTGACTTTAGGAAACTGAACAACAGGGCAGTAATCGGCCATTCATTTTTCATCATATCCTTGTATCCATACATTTCTTTTTATAATACCCTAATCTAAATGGATCATCAATTCCAAATTTATTTAAAAGTTCTCTTCAATCTAAACGTTGAAATCTGTTGACATAACAAGCATTTTCAAGAGGGGGATAAATGGTTTTCAGCTTTCACAATTACATTTTATCTGCATGGTGTTTGCAATAAGAGGAAATTCAATGACACAAGAATTGAAAAAATTCTGTGTTTGGCTGGATAAAGGAACAATGGTAGTTTTTTCATGATATAAAACCTATTTACGTTGCACACAAAAAAAAGTCTCTCGATGCATAATTTTTCTGATGTAAAAGGATTTGTCAATTAAATGCTTGATCAGAAATAAATTTAAAAGGTTTCTTCAGTATGGAGTAAATTAATGGTTGCCGTATTAGGAAAGTCCTTTGGGTTTTTTGTGTGACAGTGCATGAAAAGTCATATCCCCCACTGTTATGATTTGAATTAAGAATACTTGTAATTCAATCCCTTCCGTTATGGGTTGTTTATCAAATTTGACAGTCCCAGGTAACACAATATAATTTAAGGCTTAAACATGAAAGTTTTTTTCTTAACTTTCTAGCACGCTATTTTCTTGTTCTTTAAAGATCAAGGCCCAAGTATTCTGATAAACTTTTCAGAAAAATTTAGGAAGTGCCTTTTTTGAACCTTATTTACACAGGCATCAACCACAATTCAAATACATTTAACACAGAAAGGCAAATTGGGTGTGTTCTCTTTGCAAGCATGGAGAAGCACGTCTGTAACTGCATATCAAAAAGTATGAAACTGCTAAAGGTCAAACATTGTACATATGTGTTTCTTTGGTATATAATGTAAGAAATTTATTGCATAAATTAAATACAGCCAGTCTACATAAAATTACAAATATATGTCTTGTCATATTTCAGAATTTCAATAATGTGTCAGTTTCTCAGACCTCACAACATCTACTGCAGTCTGCAACCACTGACACAGCAAGCAGTACTAATGGAATGGTAATGAATTTAAACCTGCGAAGACTCATATAAAAGAAAAGCAGTTACAAGTATATTTATGGATCTTGTACGTGTACTTTATTTACAGATTGGGGTCAGTTGAATCATAAACCACAAATTATATTACTTATGAACAGATTTCTTTGTGATTCACGTCTACAATAAATGAATTAAAGCCATACATGTTAACTTACGAATGACTAAAATTTAGCATAATTGGCTGCATTATGTTTAAGATTTTTAAAAGACTTTAAAATTTTAATCTACTCAAAACAGCACATCAATTACAAATCCCATTTCTTAAGAACTTCACATGACTTAAAACCAGAGACTCCTAGTTTTTGCCTTCAGTCATTTTAAGTGAAGCTCAATAAACCAAGAAAGATGTTCAAAACTTCAAATGGCCAAGATAAAAACTTCATCTATATAATTCTAATAATACCCTTCTTATGTTGCCTTTTTAAAACTTTAAAAGTCAACTACTTTTCTTTAGAAATTCTTGATCTTTGTATTCTTTTACATATGTGTGTCATAAGCCTTTAATCTTCACTGTAACGTTTCCTCAAGCTGACAAAACATTGAAAATGAACAAAATGTGGCCTGCTTCAAGCAGAACACCTGATATAAAAATACTGTTTGAAGTAAATTATAACCAGAATACAGAATGGGCCTTTACATATTGCTTGTCAAATTAATGTACATCTTTGTACTGTGCACATAAGCTGTGTTGAATATTTCCCTGGCCTTCCATTATTCTTATATGAGTACTAGCTAAAATGAATGAATCTGAATTATTCTAGAATGACTTGATGCCTCAAATATTTAGAGGGATTGCTAATTCTTAAGATAATACACCAAAACACAAATACAAAGGATATATCTATGATCCCTGTCAGAAACGGACAATACACTCTAAGGATGAATAAACCTCTATAAACATGCTCACAGAGAGGGAAGAATGCAGAATTATATCAACCAGTTCTGTCCATGACAGACAAATAAAAAAATATACTGTGCTTATCATGTTTGATCAAAGGCCAGTCTTTGTTTGTTGGTAAGCATGGGGTGTTACTATTCTTTAACAACTCAAATAACTCCAATATCAAAATTTCTACAGGCTTTCTGGAATATTGTGTTCATATATAAAAATATACTTATACAATTTTTCTTGATTAAGTCTCTTTATGCTTATAACCATGCCATATTATATTATAAATTTATAATCAGAATAAAACTGTATTAAGAGTAGCATTTTGAAAGTATTTCACAGAAATTTCTATTTTTAGTAACCACGCCAACACAGTTCACCGTAATCAAAAAACGACATTAAAAATGAAATATGAATTATAATTTACAGAAATTTCTATTTTGGTACAAACACCGTCCTTGAAATCAAAATCTGATAAAAAGAATTACATATCTTTGTGTAGTCATATGCCAAGTTATATTGAAATCAGACCAAAACTGTAGGACTTTTGATTATTTAGAAATTTTACAGTCAAATCTCACTATACATGTACTAGCATCAAGTAATCAGTACACTATGAAATTTTACAGACAAATCTCACTACATGTATCTCAAACAAGACAGAAACATTAGATTACACACTGAGATATCTGAGGATTCCAATTAACAAGGGTAAAAAGCCAAACCAAAAGTGATTTAAACTGCCAACACATTTCAACATATCTTGAGTATTCTAGATATCAATATTTAAAATAAAGAAGTGCATGCAACTATGTATAAATATATTGCTAACATGACCAGTAATAATTGTCAATGCCAAATTTTTTAAAATCAATAACATTTTTTACATTAGTCAAAATCAACATAGCTATTAATAATCATCAACTTTACCTACTTTCTGCTTTAGTTCATTTTGTGGCCAAATGTGGTGAGCACAAAATTCTTACAGTTACACTGATGATGTATATGACAAAAATTTGGCCAAAAAGTGATTACTATATTATCAATTTTGCAATAAAATTGCCACAGAAGTAATCATTTTCTGAGTTATTCATCATTAGTGTGACAGCACTTTCCTTTGGTCTTTGTGCCGCAAAATACAGAAATTATAAAAAGTATAAAAATAGCTTTAAGCTATTAATAGCTATGTAGGTATTGTGTTATCATTCATTGTTAATATACCACAGATCTTGAGTTTTCAACAGCCCCTTCCTTCTGAAGACGTTTAACATTCTGTTATTGTATGTAAATTTACTGTCCTATAAACTAGATCAAGGTAAATCTTTCATTTCCCTCTGTGGACACTATGTAGTTAATTAAATCAGTTTTACTGTCTCATTACACACTTTCATGTTTGTTAAATCAGGTGTTTACAGTGCATTTAAATTTATCTTCTTGACTAGAACAACTATGCCCCATCCCTTTCCAAATGTTCCATTGATCTATCTTCAATATTTGAGTGACTACATGTATAATCAACATTGAATGGAAGTTCAAAAGATTAAGTGACAATATTACTTATACTATTTGAAACAATATGCCTTAATTTTTAGAAATAATAAGTATCTCCCTTGTTTGTTGTTTTATATCCCTCTCAAGGTGCCACCACTTGCCGGTGGAGAGCTGCAAATTTAGACCTATGCTCAGCACTCATGGCCATTGAGCAGGGAGGAATCCTTTTTTGTGCCAGCACCTACTGTAACACTAAATCTTGGTTCATAAGGTCTCATCTGAAAGACCAGTTAATTTCCAAATCCCACAATGGGATTCAAATCCAAGACTTAAGGATCAACTTTTTACTCCAAGCCTTTGGAGCAGATGCTGTAACCACTGTGCCACATTGGAGACCTTATATAGAATAAAGAAATTGTAAATAATGACCTTTCATTTAAAGGAGAGGATTCTGAAAGCAGTTCATGACCTTGTTATTCAGAATGACTGTTACAAGTGTGCCCTCCTTAAATTATTGGTCAATATTGATTTGTTGATAAACTTGATAAGGCAGTGATAATATCAAATGTTATCTTGCTTTATAAATATATGTGAATTATAAATTAATCCTTGTAAAGATTATCTGACTTTGAGATCTGAGAAAGCAGTGAGAACAATGTGACTGTATTAATATTTACACTGATATAATTATTACACAATTGTTTAGCAGATGTAGTCTAGACCATAACTGCATGTATTCAATTGTATACTTATTTGAACTTAGGCTAAAATATATACACATATTGCATATTCTAGAATAGCTCTTTCTTGCATGTTTTGAAGCTTATTGAAATAAAAAGCATACTGCCAAAAAAAATAATAATAATGAGGGATATATATGAAGAAAAGGGGGGGGGGGTTCAAAAGAATGAGAGAGAGTGCTCTGAGCTTATTATAAGGAGGGGTTCAAGGAAGTACATGCTGTTCTTAGTTTAAAAGTCATTCTAACATTTACTCTTTGATCTTCGTTTTCTTTAAACTGAAAAAAATGACCAACAAACTTATAATCCCACTGGATTATCTTAATCCAATAAACTCCTTATAATTATGATAATCAAATTAATAGATTCAGAGCCTTGAATGTTTTTATAGTGTATGTGAAACTCTCAGAAGATCACATGAAGTCAGCAGGTAAAAACAGATTATTCCAATCTTTTAACCCTCTTAATGCTGACTTTTGGAATCCAAATTTTCTCACCGAAATTAGGATATAATTTATTGAGTCATATGACATAAACTTACTTGCGTAGGCCTTACTCATGGCCAATTTGACTGGTCATTATATTTTTTCTTAAATGATTAAGAATCATGGTGTCAATGATGAATAGGAAAGATTTTGATGCATGAAGGGTGTCATGAGAGAACTAAATCTACAAAATTTTTAACTCCCATTTTTAGACATAAATGCTTATGAAAACATAAACAAATGATCATCGCAGTGTAGCATTCATAACTGAAGATAATTAAAACTTTTTAAAAACCAACGCTAAAAATTTTACACATGGGTACCAACACGACATCAAAATTCAAAAGACTAGATCATTAAAGTAAATCATACACCAGCTAATCTTAATTCTCTATCAAAACACTCCATCAATGTTCTGTGTTTGTCACAAACTGTCCTTTTAAATAGTTAAAATTGTGGCATTTTAAAAAAAAAGAAGCTAGCTATCCATGCGAACAACTATACAGTTGAGGAAATGCAACCGGATACCTGTGCTTTAAAGTAATCAAATGTGTGAAAAAACAAGGCTAAGATATAAATTTTAATTGCTTATGTCATTTTTCTACTTTAATCATATTAATAATATGGGAACCCACAAAATTCCTTTATACTTCATAGAGAGAGAGGACTTTTCCAAATGTCTCTATCCATCTTGAATCATAGTGACACATCAAAGACTAGTGTGTAAACCAACCTAAATCATCAACACTTGGTCTAATTACCTCTTGGCACTTGACTGATTGAATCATGTATTATATTTTGGTACATGTAATAAATAAAAGTATGCACTAAAAAATAAAATAAACATTGGACACCCACACCCAAAATACCTCTGTCAATCTGTCAAAAGGATCACATTTCAAGTAAATTTAAAGTTTGATTGGAATTTGGTTGCCTATTTATTTTAACTTCTAATTGGTACTTGTATGTGTAAAGTCCATTCAACAAAATACACATTTCATATCAAGTCTTTAAAAAATATAAATTGATGGATGACCTCTTGTCAAAATTTACACAAAAATGACACTCTACTTTGTAAATACTGCCAGTAATTTGTCCGTAAATAGCCAAAAGAGAGGAATTAAAGATACTGGGTTGATTTAAAGTAAAGTATTTAGTTTCTGGGTGTCAATATTTTCAAACAATTATGTGTGAATGTCCCTACTCCTGGTCACAAAAGTAATTAGCTTATTATTTAAACGAACTTGAATGTAGAAGAGTGTGAATTACATTGAACATACAGACATTATAAAGATTGAATAGTTAGAGATACTTTGGTCAAGTTTTTGACTTATTTTACATGTTCCGTACAAAACAAACATTCACCTTTACAAAATAAACTATATTATATTAAAAAGACAAGAATAAAAGTACATGCGGAAGAGGAGACATGCTGTCATGAACATACACAGAGAATGATAAAGAAATTTTGCTCTACCTTCCTGCTTTATCAATTTATAAGAAATTTGAGAGAGAGAGACAGACAGACAGACAGACAGACAGACAGATCTATTGTCTATTCAAACTTTTTCTTCAATTCTGTTGTGTGTTTATAAAATTTACAGAAAATGCATGTTGTGCATTTTGTTGATTCTTAATTTCCAGTCCAATACATGTACCACTGGTTGATCCCAGTTTATCCCCCATTTATGACTTGTGTGTGACACCTGATGGGTCTGTAACTGATTTATGTGATCACTAAGTATGTGACTTACCCAGTAGTAGAATTTTGATGACATTTTGGTCTTTCTTGTAACCACTAGATATATGACTTACCCAGTAAGAGAATTTTGATGACATTTTGGTCTTTTTTTGCCCAGGTCTGTAGTTCTTTGTCGATGGCCTCGCTCCGTGCCCGGGCCTTAAGTTCCTCCTGATCCAGACTCAGACACTGGCCCATAATCCTGACTACATACTGACAGCTCTCCGCTATCAAGGACCAGTAAAGATTAGTGTTAATTATGTGTAAAAGATAGTTCAACTGATGGTTCATATATAACTTTCTAAAGTACTAAAAACTATAATATTATTGACACAACAGTTTAAAGATAGGTTCTGTTATTTCATAATTTAAAATTGTTCACTTTTTTGCTTATGATCACTGTCAATGAAGTAACATCATAAATTAATACACATTGACTAGTCTAATAATTTTTTGTCCTAAAAAACTAATTTTCCAGGCTAACATTTTTTCCCAACCGGGAGTTGGTAATTTCTCCTTTAACAAGCAAAGGATAAATACAGTGAATATCCGTTCAATTTATGAATCATTCAATCATAAATATTATTTTTAACTTATAAATATACACAGAAACAATCATAAAAAGAACAGCCCGCACCTCAGATCTCCAGATTTCCACATTATTCCGCATTTTTTCCTCATTTTAATATGGAAAAAATGTGGAAAAAAATACGGAGAAAATTAACAATATGGAAAAGCAGAAAATATACGGAAATAATACGGAAAATAAACGGAAATAATACGGAGAATTGGACTTAGTCTATTTTTCATCTGGAAAAATATTGAACTCTTAACTTAGAATATTTTTCATCCGGAAAAAATACGGAGCTCTGGACTTAGAATTTTTTCATCAAGAACAAGATGTGTTTGTGAGACACAGTAGCACCTGGCGGCAACATTAAGTTCTAAAAAGCAATTTTTAGCAAATGGGTCTCAGTCAAGGTCACACAATCATTGTTCTTGGTGTCATTTGAAAGCACTTTATTAGTGTAGTATTCATACCAAATATTAAGTCTATATCATCTATGGTTCAAAAGTTATGGCGAAATTCGAAAAAAGCTATATTTAGCACATAGGTCACAGTCAAGGTCACAAGGTCATTGATCTTGGTGTCAGTTGAAGGTGCCTAATTAGTGGAGTATGCATACCAAATATGAAGTCTCTATCTCTCACGGTTTTAAAGTTATGGCGAAAGTTCGAAAAAGCTATTTTTAGCATATAGGTCACAGTCAAGGTCACTAACCTTGGTGTCAGTTGAAAGTGCCTAATTAGTGGAGTATGCATACCAAATATGAAGTCTCTATCTCTCACCATTCAGAAGTTATGGCGAAAGTTCCAAAAAGCTATTTTTAGCATAAAGGTCACAGTCATGGTCACAAGGTCATTGACCTTGGTGTCAGTTGAAAGTGCCTAATTAGTGGAGTATGCATACCAAATATGAAGTCTCTATCTCTCTCGAAAAAGCTATTTTTAGCATAAAGGTCACAATCAAGGTCATAAGGTCATTGACCTTGGTGTCAGTTGAAAGTGTTTTTGTAGTAGAGTATCCATACCAAATATGAAGTCTCTAAGTCTCACGGTTCAAAAGTTATGGCGAAGGTTAAAGTTGACAACAGACCAACAAACAGACAGACATACAGCTAAACAGACAGACAGGACAAAAACAATATGTGCCCCGAAAAAATTTGGGTGCATAAAAACTGTCTTGGAGTTAACAGCAGTTCTCTGTTTCTCCTGAATGTTATGTACAATTTGATCGGGATCGGAAGAATGTTTCAAAAAGTCGGGCTCAGTGATCAATTAATTTAAACAACAGACCGCCAAAATTTAACCTTGGCCTCCATGTTGCAACGTCTGCTCTGTCTAAAGGAAGAAGTTTGTTGACCAGACAGCCTGAGATCGTATTGCTGTATCAACCAAAAGATGCAGATACACGTATTTCATATGCGGTAGGTCAGTCATATTTTTTTAACATGTGTGTCACTGTGATGATGAAAATAAATACTCTAGGCCTAGGACTGAGCTACCAGGTTACGTACGTTTCAGCCAATATGCCCATGATTCAAATCTTTCAATCAGCTCATAGAATTTTATTATGGTTAACCACAATTAAAGGTGTTAATTTTGGGGAGCCATGGGCTGTAATCTCTAGCAATGATTTACCATACATTTTTTTTTTGGTAGCGTCTGTGCATGAGGAGATTTCTGAAAAAGAATAAGTGCTTATTCAACTTACTGCGATTTTAACGGGCTTAAAGCTTGGTCCATGGATGGTTTATATGTTTGATGCATATATATTCTTTTTTTCTTTTTTTATTGCTTGTTTAATAATTAAAAACAGTCAACTATGATTGTCATTATTATAAATAATATTTTAAACAAATTGATATTAAATTGAAGAACCCAAACTTGTGTTTATAAAAAGATTTTAAAAGGAATAAAAGCAATGAATTTAAATTTTATTAATATTGCACCATTATAATTTAAGTACTTTTTTTTTTATTGATAGGATTTGCCAATTCGACCGCAAGTGCTGCTGCAAGAAATTAAACATGCAGAGACCTTACAAATTACAAAGAAGTCTGAAGAAAATTTTTATTGGACAGATGGGTGTAAAGCACAGACCTGAGATATAAATTGAATTGTGAGAAATATGAATCAGGGATGCAGGTAGAAAATGGCAAATGTGATCCAGATTGATAAAAAATGTCTAAAATTTTTTCTTGTTTTGTAAATATTCAATGCTATGTCAATTGTTATTTTTTCCCCAATACCTAATAGTGTTGAACATTTCACTCCCACTTTTGCTTAAATAGAATGAATAAATTTCCATTTATTTAATATGAATATTAAAAAATGCCATATTTTTTCCATGATGCACTTGTGGCTTAAATAAGAGTTCCAGTTTTTTTTCCATACATGCTCCTATTTGTTTGTCAAAGATATAAGATCCAATACATTGCTCATGAACATAATGTGTAATTTTGTTCATTCATTTATATGTTTTTTTTCTCATAATGATATAATAAATTGTATATAATTTTGCACATTGTTGATGGTTTTGTAAATATTTATGTATGTATGCATCATGTAGCGGTTTTATTAGCCATTTTATAACCATGTGATTAACTCCGTATCTTCTCCAAATTTCCGTATTTCCGCATTTTATCAACCAAGTAAATACCTCCATATTTTGTATATATGGAAATGCGGAAATCTGGAGAGAATACGGAAAAAGAGTCCAAATACTCCCATCCACATTTTCTCCATATTTTGAATACGGAGAAAATCTGGAAATTTGAATCTACGAAAATCTGGAATGAATGCGGAAAATTAGTCCAAATACTCCCGTCCGCATTTTTTCCTTATTTTGAATAAGGAAAAAATGTGGAGATCTGAGGTGCGGGAGTATAATTAATTATAAATATCTATATAACTTTTCTATCTCTCATTTTCTTTGGCAATATTCATTAAACACATGGAAGTATACACTTGTAAAGTGTTATTCCCTAAGATTTGACCTGATTGTTCATCTTTTCAAAAGATGAGAAAGACATACGATTTAAAAATTCACATTTTTCCATATGCACGACTGACTAAAATCTTGCACAAATGTTTATGTTATCTGTAAATTTTTACCGAGCACTGTCAACTTACCTGTGGCAAAAAATATTTCCGCTTGTTTAAAAAACTTTTAAAAATCCTGCATGTGTACAGTATCTTATCTCGCTGCCGTTTACACCTGTAATGCAATATAAACACAGAAAGCATGTGTACTTAAACAGTTAAAGGCAGCATTTCAGGTCAACCGTGACGATTCAGCTTGATGACAACTCAAGAGAGATTCCGAAAGAACTGCTATTAAAAAATCCGCGAAATGTTGTATGCCTATCCCGATCCTATTAATGGAAAAAAAAATTAAGACATCAGAAAAATGTTTTTATCCATCGTCCAAGATCACGGATCCATGATTATCTAGGGGTGCGGTGGGGTACAGCACGCCTATTTATAATTTTTCTCTGATCCTCTTATTAACGGTTAATTTATACTTAAAAAAAAAATTGTTTAAGATACTACATGTAAACATCTATTGTGTTGTACACTAGGCCAAGGTAAATACAACAAGAGGCCCATGGGCCACATCGCTCACCTGAGAAACTTTGGCCATGCTGTTCTTTATCAGATTTCCCCCCTTTGTAATAGCAATAGTGACCAAGCCCTATCCACAGGGGTAAAGATTTGGACAATTTATAATCTACACTACCCCAAGATTCACGTAAGTTTCAGCTTTTCTAGCCCAATGATTCTTGAGAAGAAGATTTTCAAAGATTTTCCATATATATTTCAATGTAAAACTTGGATTCCCCATTATGGCCCGCCCTACCCCCGGGGGCCATGAATTGGATAATTTAGAATCTACATCATTCCAGGATGCTTCCACATAAGTTTCAGCTTTTCTGGCCCACTGGTTCTTGAGAAGAAGATTTTTAAAGTTTTTTCCTATATATTTCTATGTAAAATTGGATTCCCTAGTGTGGCCCCGCCCTACCCTTGGGGGTCATGATTTCTAAAATTTAGAATCTACACTATCCCAGGATGCTTCCACATAAGTCTCAGCTTTTCTGGCCCAGTGATTCTTGAGAAGAAGATTTTTAAAGCTTTTTCCTATATGTATTTCTATGTAAAACTTAGATTCCCTATTGTGGCCCCGCCCTACCCCTGGGGGTCATGATTTGAACAATTTAGAATCTACACTACCCCAGGATGCTTCCACATAAGTTTCAGCTTTTCTGGCCCAGTGGTTCTTGAGAAGAAGATTTTTTAATGACCTCACCCTATTTTTGTATTTTCTTGATTATCTCCCCTTGGAAAGGGACTTGGCCCTTGATTTTAACAATTTAGATTTCCCTTTACCCAAGGATGCTTTGTACCAAGTTTGATTAGAATTGGCCCAGTGGTTCTTGAGAAGAAGTTGAAAATGTGAAAAGTTTACAGACGGACGGACGGACAGCTAGACAGACAGACGGACGGACGGACGACGGACAATGGGTGATCAGAAAAGCTCACTTGAGCTTTCAGCTCGGGTGAGCTAAAAATCGTATTTACCTCCACCTAGTAAATTCAAAAGTTAAAACATACTGATATGAAAGTTCTTTCTCCATATACAGTACAGTTCTATACATGCATTGTATCACTCCAATTCTGGTTATATCTTTCACACCTCACTCTTTTGATCATCAGAAATGAATAAGAAGGACCAAATTTGATTAGATTAAAATATTTAGACTCTAAAAAGAGAAGAAAAAACTATACCTTCGATGAACATAAATTTAGTAAAGGATTTGCTACAGTGACTATGTTGCAAATTGAATGATAAAAAAAACTTAATGAAATTAACAAAACTCTGTAAGGACATATCACTTATAGTGGCATTGTCATGATTGACCGTGCGAAACAAAATATTGGAAAAGACAAAAATGATAGTGATAGTGATAGAAATTGTCATCGTAATTTCAACTGGGAATTGTTCCCTGTAGTTTGCTTTTTAACAAAAGCTTTGTATAATCAAAAGTACGTAAGGGTTGCCCGCAACCCTGTGTCTCGCCTGCTGTCGCTGTGGTTAGTAAGAAATGATTGTCTGATAAACTGAAGCATTTATTGACATTTCAGGAGGAATAACTCAAAAATACAATAATAAAGAAATGGAACAGCTGACTTAATATCTAATCCCTTGGCGATTATATTGGCATTTATATATATATACATATACCCTGTAAATTCACAAATTATTGTGATGTTTTTATTATTGCGAATATTGCAACGTGTTATGAGTCGCAATAATTTGAACTTGCATTTTGAAATCAAATCCACTGTATATGTATCAAGTCATTCATGCAGAAAATGTAGGTGAAGATTACCTAATTATGGTACTGATATTGTTGGTTACCCATGATGTGTAGACTGACAAATTATCATGCCACTATAAGTTATAGTTGCTGAGATATGGACCTCCACCATAAATTTATGCAAAGTCACTCATGCGGAAAAATGTAGGTCAAGATGACCTAATTCTGGTACAGGCGTTTGTGGTTACCCATGATGTATCCACTGACAAATTATCATGCCACTATAAGTTATAGTTGCTGAGATATGGACCTCCACCATAAATTTATGCAAAGTCACTCATGCGGAAAAATGTAGGTCAAGATGACCTAATTCTGGTACAGGCGTTTGTGGTTACCCATGATGTATCCACTGACTAACTATCATGCCACTATAAGTTATAGTTGCTGAAATATGAACCTCCATTATCAATTTAACCAAAGTCATTCATGCAGAAAAATGTAGGTCAAAATGACCTAATTCTGGTACTGATGTTGTTGGTTACTTATAACCTGTACAATGACAAATCATCATGCCATTATAAGTTATAGATGCTGAGATATGGACCTCCACCAAAAATTTAACCAAAGTCACTCATGCAGAAAAATGTAGGTCAAGATGACCTAATTCTGGTACTGACGTTTGTGGTTACCCATGATGTATCCACTGACTAATTATCATATCCCTATAACTTATAGTTGCTGGAATATAGGTCTTCACCATAAATTATCATGAAAAAACTAAGTCCAACTTAAGGAAAAAATACGGAGAAATTTGAATTTTTTTTTTCAAAATCATACTTGGGATATAAATTTTTATCCATACTGAATATTGTGTCCAAATTTCAAGAAGACTGAATAAAATTTGAGAAAGTTATTGCAGTTTATAAAACTTTGACATTTGGGTTAACCAAAAGTTGGACGCCGACGACGACGACGACGACGACGGAATCTATGGTCGCTATGTCTCGCTTCGCGACATTCGTCGCAGGCGAGACAAAAATCATACTGAATTATAACTAAATGCGTAAAAACTTTTATATTTATTTTCCAGGCCATAAGGCGATCTGTTATCGATCTCAAAAAAAAAAAACCCAACTAAAAACAATATAAATACATGTATGTGAAGAGGGCATGGAACACGGCTAGCCTTCCAGGAATTTTCAGAGATGAGACCAGGTACCCAGGAGTCGTAAGCATTCCCCTATGACCGCGCACACCCTCCATGAGCAATATGTGTTGATCAGATAGACATGCAGAACATTCCTATTATTATATCAAAATCAATGGCCTTATAATTGGTATGAACCAAGTCGGCAAAAATACAATCAAACGATAGGTTATATTGACAGGGTCATAATAACGACCAAAAAATTTACGAAATATCGATTTTAATTAAACGAGATTGTTGAAATCCCTGTAACCTCAACTTATCAGTGAGTAGTATGCTTTGCTTTAAAACTTGATTGTACTTAGAGCAAGCTCTTGAGAAACAAATAAGTTAGGAGACATAAACATCAAAGTGGAACATTACTACATAAACAAGGAAAAATGACGATAGAAGAGCTGAAGTCATCTTGTTTGTCATACAATTTTGTTGTCTTTTATCGTATTTAGTCAGTAAAACACCCAAGCATGAAACAGATGTGGCAGACTCCTTGGTGTAGGTTTTATTTCAATTCACTGGGATACATCGAGTCGACATATGAATAAAAATAACTATTGTTAACAATTAGACATCATCATCGATTTATCTGAATGGTGAACTGAAGAACATAGCAAGTGTTTTCCTCTTCTGAGATCTCATGTAGAAGTTTTATAGAAAATATGTGAATATAAAACAGGTAAGCTAACAGAGGAGCACAATTAGTGCCCATCGCATTTCAAATACCGGTACAACATACATTTTGTTATTGAGGAACTCCGGTATCCTTTTAATGAATCTTTAAAAAATGACCGATCATGATAAAATTGACGAATTGCGTTTTAAATGAAGAAGCAGTTGGTTATGAGATAGAAAAGTCTCGATTTTAATTTATCGTGATGAACTGTTGTATAAAGTACTGGAAGTTGTAAGCTAGTTTTTATGTTGTAGACTTTGAATTTGAAGTTTCTTAAAGTTATTTTTTTTTTAAAGTTTTTGAAGATTTAAAACTGATTTTTTTTAATAATATGTAAATTTTTAGATTTGTGTAAATGAAAAAGGGTTCAGTGCATGTGATTATTATTTATCCATGATAAAGGATATACACATGTACACAGACTTATCATTGTGAGGTTAAAAAATATGATAAGAGTTTTATTGTTTTGTTCTATTGTAAAACATAGAGCAGGGAGCGTTTTATTATTTTTAGATGTACATTTTTAAAGAACTGCGAACGAAAGCATTGTTCTCTTGCCTATCTCCAAGTCAATTTTCAAATGTTAACGTATTCGAATGACTTTTTAAAAATAATATTTGTATAGATATTTCAATGCACGGATTTTCAAATTTATTTATGTGTTTTTAATATAGCGCCCTATACAATAAAAATATCACCCTAAGGCGCTTTACATGTACATAAAACATTGCATGTATTACTTTAAAAATACGTTAGAAACACCCCCCCCCCCCCGTGAAACAAAAATTCCTTTTAACAGGTAATATGCACCAGTCTGTCATTTTACAAATTCTTTCCAAAGGTTTTTGTGTTTCACCGGGGGAGGTAGAGGGCATTGTATATTTATAGACAAAAAAACGATAAAATTGCTTATTTTTTCACAAATATCAAAGCAATTTACAACTAAAATATTGTATTTTATTAAAATATTTATATTTAATTTATTTGCGTAAAACATAAGAAAAGATATAAGGAACATTTAATCATATCCAAGACTATTTAAAAATAAGGGATGCTTTAAAGTCCGATTTAAATGGAAAAAATATCGTCTCCCCCACCCCTTTTTTTTCAAGGGATAATCTACCATTAAGCGCTGGTATTAGAATAATCAATCAATTACCAATGAACTGTTCTTTGTATAAAACAAAGATTTTATGGTCAAATTTGCTATTAATGTTGAAATAAATGGGTGCAAAATGTAGGTGGGAATCTCGATTCTTAGTCTACACTGTTTATCAATCGGGAACGACATTCTCGGTTATTTTGATTTCGGAGTGCCTCTGGAATTTTCATGATGGTTGTTCAAAGAGAAAATGTGCATGATGAGGAGAAGGTAATATTCAAGGTTTGAAGCATATAATTATTATCTTGTGTTAACCTACAAGTTTAATAGAAATGTTTACATATTTAATTCTTTTATTTATAAGAAAAAAGAGATTGTAATGTTGTAAATTTGATTACGCAAGTTTTCTCAGTTTGCAACATCAGCAAATGAACGAAAGATTATTTCATGGCAGTTAGCCCACATGTTCAATTGCTAATAAGTTTATATTTACATAATGTAAACCGTTATGTCGATATAATAGCCAAGGTGGAAACATTGTTGGTGCAAGGTATGAATGTAAACATGGAGTCGGAGTTACTTCCCCTGGATTGATAGATGGCGCTCAGTAGGTTAATTGCCAATCAAACCTCACAACGTTTATTGGCGGTATATTCGCCTGTTGCACTCAACATTTGCGCCAAATCACTCTGGGTAGACAGTTGCAGGACGGACAAAGGTTCATGTTCAAACCTCAGAATGTTGGGCTCCGAACAGATAAAAAGAATCACAGAGAAAGGTATTTCAATTTTTTGTATGACAGCAAAGTAAAAAGGCTTAATGAAAGTATTTTCCTCATTTTATTCACTGAAAATTAGGAAACATAATAACGCGCATTTCTGATTGAGACTTAAGATGAGATTGGCTTTAGTTTTTACCAGAGACATACAAAGACATAAATTTATGTTTTTTGCATTTTAATGAAATGCAATGTCTAATTTTTTGCACATTTAAATTTTTAGTAATGTTTTTGTAATTTTCATTGTTTACTTACACTCTGTTTTTATGACTAATGTTAATACATGTATGCTTTTTAAGCTGAATTCCGATATAATTTCTGATTTCAGAGAGATCTAATTTTTGTAAATCCATCTGAAATTTGAAATTTTATTACAAGAAACATGCAAGAGAAAAAAAATGCCAAGCAAATAACATTCTGTTGCCAAACATGCCTTTCAAAATGTGCTGGTACTTGATACTTTTACCTGGCAGAAATCTTAAATGTATACTGGCTATTAAATATATTTGTAGGAATAAAGTTCGATACAAACATATTTAATTTAGATATTGCTTCCACAATACAGACAAGGTACCTTCTATTTTTTTTAAAGAATTTGCTTGCTTTGAAATTTGAATCATTTTGAAATCCTTGGCTCAGATGTCCTCTCATTTTGAAGATGGACTGCTTTTTAATATTTTGTGTACTATGTGTACCTTCACCTGTCGGAAAAAGCAACGAGATGATTTTGAACAGTATCAGGCAGAAACAGCTGGAAGCATTTCTGAAAATGGGGGGGTGTATGCTACCATCAAACATACGCTTTAATATATAAGTAATTACTTCATGTACTCGACTTTTTGTAATGGTGCTACAATACATATAAGCAAATTATTTATAAATCTACAATACTCAGTTGAGTTCTCATGATAAAAATATCAAAAAAAAGTCCCATAGAATGGACAAAGTTTAAAAATTGTATATGTATTTTTTAGTATTTCAAGATGAAAATATCCGCCGGATTCTACCAAAAGGAAGATTGTTCACGGTAAGTTCATAGTAAAACATTGAATTTTTAAATGTTATGATAAAGATATAAATTGATATTAATTTAAAATCCTCAAAATTTTAATATTACATGGATTGTTTGATTTGTGGTAGTCTACACAAATTAATGAAAAATCAGAGAATGAATGAATGTGAAACCACTATCCAGTATCCTGTAATAATTTGAACAGTGGTACATTTATCACAGTGACTGTCACTATTAATAAGAATATACTAAGTTTTTTTTTCCATATAATTAGAATATTTGCCAATTTTTCAAATTCAGTTTTTTGACTTTGCATATAAATAATGGATGTGCAAAGTGAATGAAGCTGTTCATGTATTTCTTTCAGGTTTCTGTGGAGGGAAATATAGGGAGTGGGAAGACAACTCTTCTGGAGTACTTTAAAAATTCCCCAAATGTAGAGGTGAGTTTATGCTTGAAAGTAAAAGGCTCCAGCATCACTCAAAATGAACAACTAAAGCTTTCCAAGTTGTCTTCCTTTAGTTTTTACTATTACAATAAAAATTGACATATTCCTTTTAACAATTGCTCATATTGTCTTTGTCCTGGAGGCCGCTGATGTCCCTGAATCTCTTCCTTGTGTAGTATTCTGAGAGAGTTTAAGTTTTGATAATAAAGTTTTGCATGACTATTGTAGGCAGTAAGAGAACCGGTGGAGCAGTGGACCAATGTACAGGGACATAATGCACTGGTTTGTACTAGATGTATTGATATAAGTACAAGTGTAGCATAATGTTATTGCAACAACATCAATACTAGGGAGAAATCCAGGGTAATTTGGAAGTGGAAAAAATGGCAATATTTCAATTTAATTTTTTCTTTTTTAATTTAAGCAGAAACTAAGTGTTTCTAATGTTTGACATTAGTTTTGAGTCTGATTTTACTCCAACAGAAACTGCTGTATGAAGATCCTAAGAGATGGAGTTTCACATTTAATCTGTATGCTCAACTGACAAGAATCCAGATGCATGCCAAACAGACCGTATGTTTAGTTAATTAATATTCATTTAGTTATTAATTAATTTTCAGTGCACAAATTATAGCTATTTTCGGATTTCAATATCATTATGATTTTTAATAGAAAGAATTTAGGCAATTGTATTTATTCGAAAAATTGCTTGTTTTCTATTTTAATTTTGTCCTCTAAAATGACGGAAAGATGTGAAACATGATTTATCATTGTTAGAACATCAAAATGAGTTTCATCCACTTCACATGCATTTTGTTCATGTTTTAGGAAAAGCCAGTGAAATTATTAGAAAGGTCCCTTCACAGTACAAGATACTGCTTTGTGGAAAACTGTTACAGAGAGTGAGTACTATTGTTTTTCTATAGTACATGTTTATGGATTAAATCCATTGTTAATGTTTGGTATGCATAATTTCTGTCTACTGTTTGATAATTATGATTTCTACAGGCAAGTGATTAATGGTTTGGAGTACTCAATTCTTAACCAGTGGTTTGACTACTTGACAAAGAAAGACAATACTGGTTTGGACCTCATAGGTAAGACATTGTCAGTTATTAAAACAAAAGTACAGGCATTGCCATTTATTACTATTATTTTTTTTTTTAGCTCACCTGAGCCAAAGGCTCAAGTGAGCTTTTCTGATCAAAATTTGTCCGTTGTCGTCGTTGTCGTCGTTGGCGTCGTTGTCGTAAACTTTTTACATTTTCATCTTCTTCTCAAGAACCACTGGGCCAATTTCAACCAAACTTGCTACAAAGTATCCCTGGGTAAAGGGGATTCAAGTTTGTTCAAATGAAGGGTCAAGCCCTTTTCCAAGGGGAGCTAATCATGAATTACACGTAGAGGAAAATTAATTGCATTTTTAAAAAATCTTCTTCTCAAGAACCACTGGTCCAGGAAAGATGAAACTCATGTGGAATCTTCCTCAGGTAGTGTAGATTCAAGTTTCTTCAAATCATGACCCCTGGGGGTAGGGTGGGGCCAAAATGGCCGATCAAAGTTTTACATAGGAGTATATAGGAAAAATTTTGAAAATCTTCTTCTCAAGAACCATTGAGACAGAAAAGATGAAACTCATGTGAAATTATCCTCAGGTAGTATAGATTCAGATTTGTTCAAATCATGACCCCCGGAGGTAGGGTGGGGCCATAATGGCTGTTAAAAGTTTTACGTAGGAATATATAGGAAAAATCTTTTAAAATCTTCTTCTCAAGAACCATTAAGACAGAAAAGATGAAACTCATGTGAAATTATCCTCAGGTAGTACAGATTTGTTCAAATCGTGACCCCCCCGGTGTAGGGTGGGGCCATAATGGTCGTTAAAAGTTTTACATTGGAATATATAGGAAAAATCTTTAAAAATCTTCTTCTCAAGAACCACTGGGCCAGGAAAGTTGAAACTCATGTGGAATTATCCTCAGGTAGTGTAGATTCAATTTTGTTCAAATCATAACCCCCGGGGGTAGGGTGGGGCCATAATGGCCGTTAAAAGTTTTACATAGGAATATATAGGAAAAATCTTCTTCTCAAGAACCACTGGACCAGGAAAGATGAAACTCATGTGGAACCATCCTCAGGTAGTGTAGATTCAAATATGTTCAAATCATGACCCCCGGCGGTAGGATGGGGCCATAATGGCCGTTAAATTTTTACATAGAAATATATAGAAAAAATCTTTAAAAATCTTCTTCTCAAGAACCACAGGGCCAGGAAAGATGAAACTCATGTGAAATCATCCTCATGTAGTGTAGATATAAGTTTGTTCAAATCATGACCCCCCGGGGGTAGGGTGGGGCCATAATGGCCGTTAAAAGTTTTACATAGGAATATATAGGGAAAATCTTTTAAAATCTTCTCAAGAACCACTGGACCAGGAAAGATGAAACTCATGTGGAACCATCCTCAGGTAGTGTAGATTCAAATATGTTCAAATCATGAACCCCGGGGCTAGGGTGGGGCCAAAATGGCCTACCAAAGGTATATATAGGGAAACCTTTTAAAATCTTCTTTTCAAGTATTTCAAAGCCATGATTAGTGATATTTATATGGAATCATCCTCAGGTAGTGAAGATTTTAGATTGTTCAAATCATGACCCCTTGGGGGGTTAAAATTCAAGCCCCAACCCCCCCCCCCCCCCCCCCCAGTTCTGATCTGATATGTGCTTTTTCCTAGCCGATGTTCTCAGGTGAGCGCTGTGCCCCTGGGCCTCTTGTTTTAAAGTACTAAGGCTAATTCTGTAAGTTTTAGACCACAAAATTCTTCTTGTTGTGTATTGTTACAGTCACTGCATTTTCCAGAATGATCTGTTTTTTTTCATTGTTTTACAGCATTTTTAGGACTATTGAGTCTGTAAGTTTACTTTCCCTTTCAGTGTATCTGCGGGCAGATCCAGATGTGTGTTACGAGAGAATCAGGAAGAGAGACAGGAAGGAGGAGGCATCAGTGCCCATGGTACACTTTTTTTGTTCAAAAAACTCTTTAGCGATATACATTTCCTGGAACAAAGAGTTTTAGGCTGAAATTACTTTAAACATAAGATTTGCTAAAAGTAAAAAAAAAATCTAAAACTGTTTTAGTCTAAGAGAATCGGTATTCGATAACCTGCCCAGATTTTGTTGTGCAGAGGTCTTGCTTTAGATTGCAGATCGAAAACAAGTCTTTCATGACTTTCAATGCAATTATTTTTAAATTTCAAATTTTATGCAAGCAGTAAATAGGGATCCAAGTTTTCCCCAGTAATCAAAGTATATTAGTCTTCTTCAACCAGATACTTGGCTCTGCTGTTTCACATGTCATGTGGCCAAGAGATTTTTTGAACGAGGTTTTATTGAGGAAATATGAGACCCAAGATGTTTATTTAGATGCTGAATGGCAGTTTAGAAATGTTAGTTGTACAGAGATAAATTAAGGGATAAAGTCACATTACCTGTTATAGTGCCATACCAGTAAGACATCCCAGACTGACTCCCATATGAATTTAAGGAGTGTCATTTTCAAATATTGTATGAATGTATGTTAAGGGTTCAGCACAAAGTGATTCATAGAAATTTTCTAAGTGGAAGCCCATATGATCTATCATGATATATAACATACTACTATATAAGTTACTGTTCCCATGTTTACTGTGTATTTGCTCTCCAATTGCCATATGTATTTTTGAATTTTGGCTGAATGTAAGATTTCATTTCTTTTGATAGAAAAACTGGTACATTTAGTATATTTAGACTTCATTAATTGTTAGATTTTCATTTTGCTAAAAGACAGGGAACTATTAAATCATACAAGTTTGTGAAGTAGATTTTGACATTCAGTTGAATAACTGATGCATATTCTTTCAGAATTTAATCCAGGACCTACATGATCTCCATGAGGAATGGTTAGTTCAGCAGAAATACTACAAAGCACCTGCACCTGTTCTGGTTTGTTTCTCATTTTATTGTAAACATTTTAAATTCATATCAAGAACTTCAAACTTGTGCACAAAGTCAAATCCTTTGAATTACAACGCAAGTGCAAATAAAAAATATTTCAACACCGAATAAAGGAAATATGAGAAATTATCCTACTATACAAGATCAAATTGTGCAATATCGAACCTTTCATTGAACAGTATAATTGGTGTGAATATTTTTTGGATACCTGTATTACTTTATATTGTATTTTTGTTTACCCTATGAACTGAAATGAAATGTTCATTTGCTTAGAATGAATTCACTTTTGTAGGTTTTAGATGCAAATTGTGAATACCGTGAAATGACAGAGTTGTATGAGACAAGGAGGGAGGAAATCCTGTGTGGTTATGTATGACGTCTTCACGATAGATTAGCTCTGGATACAAGACTGTTCTATTCTAAGGCAGCCCGGGAGCAGAATGGAAAAGAGTGTGCTTTAAACTCAGTGTATGGAATGAAGTAGATGAGTGCCAAAATTGGAGAGTGTATAGTGTGTATAGATGCAAGATAAACTTGGAAAGGATCTCAGAATGGGCTGACTAAAAGTGTGCAGAAAAAGAATGAGCGTAATGGAACAGTTGTTAGAAAAATGATAATTTAGAAATGTAAATAAAAATAATTTGTGTTCAAGTAAACACTTTAGAACCTTTCGAGTGGAAATGTATATCGTCATATTTCTTAGACATGTACCTCAAATAATAGATTTTAATTCAGTATAGACTTAAATTGAGTTTTTAGATATTTTTTTAATGGCATAACATGTTTTTGATTCTAGTATGCCAGTTGTGTTCACAATTAAAGTTGTTTCCAGATATATCTCAGGTATCAGATGTTTATATATGTGATATTATACCTCACAATTTTACCAGTGCTTGGCAATAGTTTGATCCTGTAATTTTAATCAAAGTGAAATGTAATGAATGATTGGTGTGAAGTCCAGCATCATTTCATCAACTGTCTCAATCTTGTTGCATTTAGTTCTTCTGTCTGAGTGAAAGATTTTATGGACATATGGATAAGTTTGAATAATATATCTACATATTGTAGTGCTGTAGAGAATTATAGTAATTGGATGAATGATGTTAGGTGTTTTTCATTTTGTTTGAATTAAAAAAAAAAAAACAAACATATTTACTGTTAGTGTGAAAGCCATGCCTGATTTACAGTTACAGTGTATTTAAATATTCATATTGTGAAACACTGCAAATTTAGTGTTGGTTTTATATATCTCTTTACAGATTTCTTTTTATCAAAACATTCTTTTAATTTTAGAGATATTGTAAAGTAGGAAATTCTGACTTTTTTTATGATATGGGTACCACATACTATCTTGCCTAAATGCTTGAAATGAAAGCAATCGAGTGTAAACTGCAATTTTTTTGTTTGTTTGTAAACTCAATTTTGATGATCAAATATTCAAGTCATCACAAAATTTGATGTTCAAATATTCAAGTCTTCACAAAATTTAAGATCAAATCATTTTGGGCATTTCTTTTCAAAGTCTGTGTTCAATACTTTACACTGTTCATGATATTTACTGTATATCAGTATTTACTACATTAAATATTTATTGAAACTTAAACTTAGTTTTGTATTTCTTTTTAGTCATTGTACAAAGTCTGAGAGAAGCTTATGATTTTCATTTCATGTATTTTATTGACAAAGGTTTCATAAAGTTCTTTGAGGTAAAGATGAAAGAGTTTGTGCTTGCCAGGATAAGGTTATATCTGTAGCTCTATTATAGGTACAAGTTTTAAACAATAGGAGCCTTTAAATCACATGTACTAGTATTACTAACACAGCATTAAACTGTTCACTATGTTATGGTTCCATAAAGCTATCGTAAATCACTCCATCATTCTTCCGTAAACAAAATTTTGATTTTTTTTTCCTCTAAATTTTTTATTTAAAGTTATATTTGGTTTGTTTGGTTGAGTATGCAGTAAGTCATATTTTTTAAAATCAAATTTTGTTCTGGAATTGTCCAGTTGGTTATTCATTCTATTCTTTTGTCTCTCTTTGCCCATTCAGTCTTATAATGAAATATTCAGTTCTTGTTTTAACAGTACGCATGTAATTATGTTGCCAAAATTATCACTCACATTGATAAGCTTGTCAAGATCCAATGCATTTGTGGGGATAAATGTAAATGCTTCAGACAGACTTGGTATTAAAACAGTTTTATAATGATTATCATAAAAAATTAAAAACTAAAATAAGAAATTATTTGGAAAAACCTAAAATGATACACGAAATAAAAAAAAAAAAAGTATACCTACTTGATCATAGAAGTACATGCATCTTGTCTAGGCAGACTTAGCTTGCATTGGACTGTGTTGCAAGTTTTTATCAAGTTCTCCAAAGTGAAATTCATAATTTAATATATGTAGCTGTTGCTAAACTTGATACCCCTGCATCACTAATAAGTGTTCTAAAACACTGAGCTACCACGGCCAAAATCCACTCTTCACATATATAAGCTAAATCATTACAAACCTCCCCCTTAAAATTAATTGTTTTCATATGTAGTTTTCATTCTAATACTTGAGTTGAAAATATGAGGGAAAGATTACTTTTCTTACATAAGCATGAAATGTTCTGAAATGCTGGTTCTGTGTAACTAAAAGTTATTGTGACATCTTTACTGCTCATAGAGGAAGAATTATGAGTGCGACCATTAATTGTACCATAGGACTGGCGGTAAATTCAGATTTTACTTTGATGTTGCTGTGGTGTATTTGCCAGAAGAACCACAGTTTTTAAGTCATGCCCACAATTTGGCATCAAGCCACAAGACATGTAACAAAACCTTGACTGATGAATGAATGATGCTGATTTCAAAACCTTGGCAATAACTGATAAATGAGTTTAGTCAACATTTTAAACTTCAAGAATACTAACATTAATTTGTCGACATTCGCTCAGTATTTTACTAAGCCTATCCTGTTAACGTTATACGTTCCATCTCGAATTGTCTTAATTCTTATTCTTGTCTCCAAATAGTAATTTCACATTAAACATGTTAAAGGTACCCCGTCTTTTTTACTTGACATAGGCGTCGGAACCGGGGGACGGGAGCTAAGCACCCCCCCCCCACTTTTTTGCAAACATAGACATAATGTATAGGCATTTAAAATTAGGGTTTATCTTTTTTTGTTGGTTTAGCCCCCCCCCCCCCCCTTCAATTTGCTTCCGACGCCTATGCTTGCAATAACATTCAAACTTAATAAAATGTCAGAAATCATTTCGCGGTTTTTGTATATTGATGGCTATAAATGAACAGTTCAATCGGCGATGTTTTCCATTGAATCACCCCCCCCCCCCCCCAAAAAAATAAAAATCAAATAAAATCGATCTTCGAAAGGAATAACAGTCTAAAATAAAATAGTTTACGATCGCTACCTCTGTTCCCGACAAAAATCAAGCCCTCTGTCTAAGCTGCAACATCTTCACACGTACCCAGTAATGATCATTCATTCCGATTTTTTTTTGATCGACGATACCCCACACGCTGCTTTCAAAATACGATCCGTTCAGATGGAGAGAGGTATTTATACAGACTCTGGACCATGGCTTGACAGGATGAAGTGGGCGGTGCTAACTGTCAACCAGCTTTTGACTCATTGGTCCTCTGGTACAAGTAACTTACACAATAGATATTAATTGGTTAATGGTAAATACACTCACAGTTTTTAATTCACTCGGGGCTCCGCCCCTCGTGAATTAAAAACTGTGGGTGTATTTACCATTAACCAATTAATATCTATAGTGTAACTATAACTTGTGTTGTGCTGAAGTGCCCTGGTAAAATATTTATACAATGTTAATTTTTGTTAAACAGCAAATCTAAAACATAATAAGAAACAATTTATTGAATAAGACAGTAACATTACAAACCAATCCTTGCATCATGAACAAATTAGCAACAGTGTTGTAAACTAGTAAATTATTCTTAAAATTGTATAAATATAATCACAGTCACCATATCACAGTGGGTATAAGGAATGTATTAAAATAATTAAAAGTTCTATCCTCAAAAAAATGATTGTATAACTTATTTAATTGAAATCACACAAGTAAAATGCTTTATACAAGCTAGTTTAGTACAGGACCTATTTATAGAAAATTAAGTCTGCAAGGAACATGCTTTAGTAAAAATTCAATGCTTTACTATTCAACGCATTTCATATAATAATGTATCGGAGCATCTCTCATGGAATTAATACTATTTGGCACAATTTCAAAACATTGAGAAGAAATGCATATACATGTTTGTACATATGACAAGAAATGTGTCTTCATCAAAATAAAGTTTGTGGACAAGAAATATTTGCGAGAGACTTTATGTACATAACATTACGTATAGAATGAACATGAAAATATATACAGTCAATAACAATCAAATACATGATGGTAAGAGTTTAGTCAAAAACTACTGTATATATTTTATCCCAGGGCTGGACAACACCATGAGTTATCTTCCCTTTAGGTACATCTCAGGGCCTGTAGCGAGTTCTCTATGGCTGTATCAGCTCCGGCCGACAAAGAATCCTCCAATCTCTGTAAAACACAAATACATATAAAGCTGAGGAACCTTTAAGTAATTGATTTTCATCAAACACAATAAAAACAATTCTGCCCCTTTTAAAAAACATTTTACTCATCAGTTTAAAATACTTGGTATCTAATGTATATGTATACTGATTATATAACACAACAAGTAAATAGAAAGATTATCCTTGTAAAAAGTCAGAAATAAAGATTTCTTGGATATATATATTTAAAAGCAAAATTATAGTTATAAAGTAAAAACTTTTGAATGCCATGAATTAAATTATTCTCCTGCAACACCAGACACAGATTAGGAAAATCAAGTCTTTTCTGAAGCACACAATTGGAATGCCACATCAAGTTAAAGAAAAAAGAGCTCTGCTTTTAAAATCAAAGAATCTCTGTCTCCATTAATTGTAGAGAGTTTCCTGTTTAATAATTTGTCACAATTCACAAAAACAAAACACAGTCACTAAAAGCTCCTTTGAAAAACCCTAAGAGTTAAAATATGAATCTTTCAACACCCTGCGAGTTAAATATGATTCTTTTTGAATTAGTTGAACTTTATTTTTTTCATATATTGTTATTTATTAGGTAATTTCAAATCAGTTATAGTATTATTGAATAATTAAGGCTGAATAAGTCCCACTTTGCCTTTATATTGATTGGCCAAAACTTTAAAGTCTCCGCAAGGAGATACGTTACTGTTAACAAGTTAATCAAATTTACTACATATTATTCTATTGCATATGTCTGATATAAACCTAATACTTGAATCAATCTAAGCTTGTCACCACATTCTGTGTGACAAGGCATTCAGAGTCTGTTCTATAATAACCGCTGGTTCAGCTGAATCGGACTCGAGACTTTTCTGCAAGAAAACATATAAATATACAAACATCAGTAGGAGCATGAAGTTTGCTCAGGAAATTACGTCTTTCAACAAGGAAAATCTTGAAAATTCAAGAAAATAAAAACAAGGGGTCAAAAGAATCCACAATGCTCAGCTGTCTGGCATTTCTCTTAGACTGAATGTCGTCTTCACTAGCCAGTATAGACAGTAATACATGTAATGAATTATGAATATGAGAATAATAAGTATCATAAAACTGAACGTATCTTACGTAATTTTGAAAGAATTATGTAATAGGGAAAATAGAAAAGAAAAATTGTTTAAGGTTAAGATCTAGTAAATGACTTTTAAGAATAATTTTTTGGTGCTAGATCCTTTATGACGTCATAATCACTTTCAACTTTCTTTTTTCCGTACTTTTCCGCATGTAGAAAATAAAGTATTTTCATTGAATTAAATTTGAAATCATATGAAAAGTAGTCCCTATACCTATATCAAATTTGACATTATTTTAAAGAAGAGGCCAAGAACATAAATTACCGTTTTCTTAGAAACTGTAGGCAATCGATAGATTTTCTTGGTGCGATATGGAAAAAACTCTCATATTCATGACTGATTTTCTTAATTTTTCATTAGAAATGAGAGTTTAAGATATGATTTTTCATCTTGATTACTCATAAATTATACCCCAAACCTCATCATTTGACCAAGCTAAGTTACAAAAAATCATTAAAAGAATTTATTCCTTAAATTTGATAAATCTGTAAGCACCTTTCATTTACTAGATCTTGACCTTAAGATGCATTATTTCTTTTTAGCAGATCTAGACAGGCAATAACAGACACATGGACAATTGATAAACATTGATCAGAAAGACTTTATTGAGACTTATTTGTTGAGCAAAATATGGACATGTTAAATTCTGTGCAAAAAGGAAATATATGAACAAGTGCAATAAATATATATACACTACATGCAGAATCTATTTAATGTGCTTAATTTAGGCATTGATAAAGTTGAACCTTTATGGAGGGAAAATGCTAATGGTTATGGGCTAAAATGATATCTTAAATTTTCAGAGAACTGTTAAATTTGTGAGGCTGATATGTGAAAAGGTTTACTATAAAATGTGTTTTATTTTGCTCACTTGTCTAAAATAAATATTTGTGAAAAATAATAATAAATATTTGTGAAAAATAATGTGTGTTAAAAAATGAAATACTATAAGATTAGTTCTCCTGTTAATAACTTTACCTCCTGCTCCAATATGATGAGTTCCGTTAACCTCTTGACCTCCTTTGGATTGGACAACAGTAACTTTTCTAAATCTCTGTGTCTCTTGTCAGCTATTCTATTTCTCATCATTGTCTCTACATGCTCCTTAAAGTTCTTTTCAATAAATCTACAAATTATAATAAGAAATTTTATCAGAAGTTAATCCTTATAACAAGGATAAACCTTTACAAATGTGCATAATATTGTAATAGGAAAAGAGAAAATGTATGGCCGGTCTGGGACCCCTGCATCACTCTATCAGGTGTTCTACCTAGCTACCCAGGCCAGTATCTCTCGCCCAAACTATTCCTCTCTCCTTAAATTGTCTTCGCCCTCAAAGACACAACTTATTTCTTACTGCCCCTGGTAGAACTTTTTACTTGTAATCAGGGGTGGTCAACAGCAAAAAATTAAGTAACAGAAAAGGAGTATCAGGAGAAGAAATATCTGGCTTGAACTGGGAACTGAACTACGGTATATTAGGCCAATATTCATGGTCCACACCATTACAATGCAATCATCTGTCATGTATGCAGGTTCAATGTTTATGGGATTTACAATATAAGTACTATACTCACTCATCATACTGCTTCTCTATATCCCTGGCTTTCTTGAAAGATTCTCTGATTACATCTCTATATGTTGGTGCATCCAAAGTAAACCAGAGTTAAGGCATATAAATGTTATAAGTTTAACTTTTTTTTTATAACTCAAAGATATTCATCAGGCATACTATTTCCAAGATAAAAACAACCTGCCATCTACCAAAATTTTGAACGTTTTGCTTTTTTAAACAATATGATTAGTGACATATCATTTTGAATAAATTCTTTGTTTTTCTTTTTTTTTCCATTTACACATTATACTTAACATACTTATATAATAGTGTTGTGTTTTGCATGCACTATGCCTAAATAGTAGTCACGGTTTGAGTGCACTATGTGTCAAATCCTGACTACTATTAGGCATAGTGCATGCAAAACACAACACTATTGTTATTATTATGCTGACTGTTGCATAAATACTACAATATTTTCTCCATTTCCAATGTTTCCTGACCTCTTACAAACATGTTTAAGTACACACCTATTATGACATCACATTGAGCCACATGTACGTCATAATCTCCTTTTCTTAATTTTGAGTGTTTCATGCAATAAGGCATAATATTATCATTGTAAAAAAAAATGTATGCCCTCTTGGCCCAAAATTAGAAAATAAAATTATCATTATATTGTTTTTCCTTCATCAAGTTTTCTTGACACAAGTTGCATGATAAAGGATATGGAGGTAAGTTTTGAATTTCTGTCCGCTGTACCAGGACATCAGTACCAGCATCATACTGCAGACCCTTCATCCTTAAAAAGTGCACCACCAGGGGGCTCTGTCCGTTAATGTTAAAAACAGACTTCACATAGTCAGGGCCTCCACAAGCTGGGTGGGACTAAAAAGTAAGCAAGAAAAACACATTTCATTGATTAGTTGACAAGATATGAAATTCATTCAACAGATGTTTATCAATAAATAAGATATGCTCTTATAGATGTATGCCTTAGACAAAGTTCAGCAAAAGTTTTGCAATATAACCAAAATTCATACTACATGTATTGAAAATAAATATATTATGAAAAGTTGCTGTAACATTCAGCAACACTGTTGTGGGATCTACGACAATATCACTGACCAAGTCATGAAGTTTACCTCTCGTAACTTCCTGCCTGGGACTTTAGTGGGGGCCTTGGTCAGAGCCACAGACACGGTGGATGTTTTGTCCCCTCTGTGAGTGTCCAGCTGTTGAGCATCCTCTTCGTATGTTGTCTCCCTAATCGGGGTCAGCGCATCTCGTAATTTTCTGGGATCGACTGCCCGTTCCTTCCCCACCTGAGACCCCGATGGAGAGGGCTTTTTCCCGTACCCTCCCACTCTCTGATTTTCGGACACATAGTCAATAATGGCCCCATCATGGGAAGATCCAGGAGACTGGAGGTGCTGTTTGGAGGAGAGCGACACAGAGCTCTGTACACTGCTACGCCTGTTCAGGCCTCGTGAGAGTTTTTTCCCTCGGCGACCCCCGAAGCTCTGCATTGAGGACTTTGACATGGACTGATTTAGGGAGGTGGTGGAGGTATACTGACTGGCATTACTAGAGAACAGGGAGTCCAGGAAATCAAAATTCAAAGACAGGGAGGCTGAAAATAAAGAATTAAAACAAAGTGATAATTTTATTATCAAATAAATACAAATGAGCTAGAATTCCATTATAAAATAACTCACTGGAATTGTATTACATGTACTAAATTTCTTTTTAAAATCATATAAAAAAAGAATTATTAAGAACCAATTAATACAACTGCAAATAATTGGAATTTTTCTAAGTCAAAGGGGCATAACTCTGACAAAGTTGCTTGATTGTACCCTTTGAACAGAACTTGACCTAGCTACCTATTATTATGAGAAATTTCATTTCAGCATTTGCAATCTCTGCAAAGAAAATAAATGGAAACTGCAAATAAATGGAATTTTTCTAAGTCCAAGCTAGGGGCATAATTCTGTCAAAAATCTTTGCAAAGAAAATGAACCGAAACTGTTGGTGACTGACAGTGAGACAGACTGACTAAGAGGCAAAGCAATATGCCTTCCTTTCTTTGAAAAGCGGGTGGGGATATCAATTTTTAATATTACATAAGTGAAAACATGTGGATAGTACAAATCATATGGACATTAAGGTAGGTCCGTACTTTCAGAATTTTCTGTCAAACTGTTTATTTTTCGATTTGAAAATCTTGAATAAGTCATAATCTAACAAAAACACCCATAAAAAACATATCTTTGCAAGTTAATTTTCATGCAACATGTTTCGGAGTATATACCTCTAAAATTCAACAGCCAAAATTCAACATGTAGAAGTGTAAGTAACATCATATTTTATTTAGCTATGTACCAAATCACATCCAATTATTGTTAAAACTAAGGAAAATCATAAATATTCATTTGTCAAGAAAATATTTGAAATTTCTATTTGAAAACACTAAAAAAATTGACGTTGATTCTGTCAAAATCTTTCAGAGAAAAAGCTCAAAATATCTTTATTTTAAATATTCCTCAAAATCTTATATGTTTATATGCTATTTTTTCTTTACAATTATTTAGAATTATATCTAAGGTTAGCAAAAAACATACTTTATTATGATTGACCAGAAAAATTTCACAAAACAGCCTTTTGAACACCTATACCCCCATTTTTGGAATATCTATTTTTTCAATCGTTCTTCGCAAAACTTATAAAAAAGTAAATTTAAAAAGATGATATAGGCTAAAAATTATAGATAAATAGATCTCAAGTTAGTTTGTTTAAAAAAAAATTAAAAAGCTTTAGGTCCATAAAGGCAAGTAAGAATTCTCTGTCTGTGTATGTACCAAATTACATATAGATCCTACGGACAGAGTGCAAAGTGGTTGTTCCTATAAATAATGTACATTAAATGCTTTGTGTGTACAATGACACTATAATAAACAAATATATGGTTGCTATTAGGGCTGTGTATTGAGCAAAAAATTTCGATACGATACGATACAATATTTTTTAAAGCGATATGCGATATATTGGATTCTTAAACAAGTCCATCAAAATAGTCTTATAAAGTCATTTAATGCATGAATTTCATAAAAACTAAATGTTTTATAATCTATTTCAAAGTTCTAGCCTCAATGCTACTACAAATAACACTTCAAATTAAAACTTTAAATGACTGAAAAATCAGCATATTAAAATAAAATTATCTATGTATTTTTTAATAATCATATAACTTGTGCTATGTCCTTAATGATTATAATTTTTTGGTCAGTTTCAATTTTAAAAAGTTAAATTTAATGTTTAGTGATTAAAATTCCCATCTTTTTTCACAGAATTAGAAGAAAAATGTCTGCCCGATACGTATTGGAAGTTATTTTTCGATACCATATGCTCCTTGAATATCGATACGTATCGATATATTGATATATTGATACAGCCCTAGTTGCTATATTATTTTCAATCATCAAAAAAGATTTTATTTCAATAGACAAAGATAATCAAAATTTTATATTGGTGTGTAAAATTAAAACCGGATCCGTAAAAGTATGGACCTGCCTTAAGAAACTTGCAATGGAATGATCCCCAACCCCACCCCAAGTCTGCCAATAATGATTTTAACAAATTAAAATCTAAGCTATATCTGGAAGCTTTCATATTAGTTTTATCTGTTCTGGCCCAGTGTTTCTTGAGATGAAAAGGACACAATTTTGCTTTTTCTTTATGATCTCCCCTTCCAAGAAAACACAGCTCTTTGTTTACACAATTGAATCCCTTCTACTCTAGAATGTTTTGTGCTAAGTTTGGTTGAAATTGGTCCAGTGTTTCTGGTTGAGGTTGAAAATGTAAAAAAAGAACAACAATGGAGAAATCAGATCTAATGCAAAAAATCTCAATGAGCAAAAAGATAAAAATATAAAAAAAAACAAAAAACTACAGAATTCTAACATCATGCAGATTTGATCAGATCAATTCTACTATTTATCATTTCCTTGGAAAGCAGGCAGTTTCTTCTTTGAAGAAACTTAAATCCTATTTACCCAATGATGATTAAAAAGACCTAGTGGTTCTTTACAGGGTCAGAGAGAATTGTGTGAAAGTTCAAAAAATTAAAACACTCCAGATGGTGTTTCAAACTTTTGCCTTTTGCCAAGATTTATTTGAAAATTATCCTGATGCATTTTTTAATGCAAGATACGCATGTTGTAAATGTCTATCTGCACCTGCTTTTCTTCCAAAAAAATATATTACGCACCTAAGTGGCAAATCAAAGATTTATTTCCTAGATGAGGAAAACATAGCATATGATTTATCGTATAGGATTCGTGTTGACTTTATTTGTGGATGTTGATTTTACTACCATAGTCAAAAAATGAGTTTTGCACACTACAATTATTTACATTAAATGCATTGAATTTATCAATATTTTTCAGAGTTCAATTTAAAGACAGTTTGATACAATAGTTATATTTTTGTCAGTGACATTTTTATACACTGAATTTTCTTTTTTAAGGAAGGCAATTATATACCGTACAATTCTTTTTAAAGATTGTCACGTGAGACTTAGTTGTAATGCTTGATTTTGGGACCAACATCTACAGACATATTGAAAGGCAAGTGTTTGTGCTGAACAATACCAGACTTCCCTTGGGGATTGAGCTGTTATATAACAGCTGTCAATATAAATGATGGAAAATTGGCAACTCATATTGATGAAGAGCTTACAGAGGTTATAATTGAATTAGCAGTGGTAAGCCCATGAGAATTATAAATATAAGATGTGCAAATTTGTACATCATAACATCTGATGAGAAACTGCTGAATTGATGTACATGATTTCAATACAGATGCAGAATGTTATGAGTTTGCAATGGGAATTAGGTTCTCGGGTGACATATTGAAATGACTTATGTTCCTAACCATGACACAATGCCCCACTATCAAAATTAAACTAGACCATTTTTACTTTTGCAAATGTTGTATAAATGCACCAAATAAATATTTACACAATATGCAGTATATTTAAATACTAGTACCTATTCTTGCTATGATTTTTATTTTGGATAGACAAAATCTGGAATTCAATTAAACTTTATGAAGATAATGACAGTTATACAGTACGTTTCACTTTGGTATGAATCATAAATTCTGATATCTAAAATACTATGGATATCAAATGTCAAAGTGATGTGGAAGTCCCAACTACATATTCTTTAAACATTTTACCCTCGATATCTCGAATCCTCAGATATCTCGAAATTTTTTCTCAGCCCCATCGAGATAACGAAGTTTACTTACGTTTTTTATTCTTCTCTCTGTTCATCATCTCTTCTCTCTGTTTTATATTGGGTGGCTCTAATTTGTCAAAGTTCCAGGACAACCAGCATCTTGATGCAGGTTTGATACCTGTAAACATGAGAAATAAAACTTAACTCTAACTAGAAATATGTCCATTGGACATGAATGCCCTGTCGATGTTTTATTAGTAATGCAAGATGAAAATTTGTATTAGTTTATGAAGTTTGATGAGAATATTGAATTTGAACAGTTGACTAATTGAAATTGAAATCTAAAAAAAAAATGGATATACATGCAGATGAATTCTCACCAAATTATGTACATGTATAAGTGTATAATCTTACATAAAAAATATCTGAAATGGTTTTTGTAATTAAATCCATGCAGTGTAAATTCAAGAAAAGTGAAGTCAATGTCACAGGACAGTTCAAGGTCAAAAGATTTTAACACAGTTGAATAGCTCTCACTAATATGTATCAGCATAATAAGTATGATAGAAATATCTTAAATGCTTAATATCTAAAGCTATACATGCTATAATTTGCATTAATTATTAAAAATACCAGGTAAATTTAGAAATTTAATTTGTATAACAATTACAGTCATGAAAATACTGGTGTTGTAATTTAATACACGATTGAAAATAAATGCATGATAATAAATGTCTCATTATAATCATTTATCCTTTATTTTCCTGTCAGTAAATTAATGCTTCTATTGAAACGAATGCATCATTTAAGTGACTAAGTTGATACTTTTAGGTATACAAATAACTTTTGACAGGGATGGCAAATGTCTAACACTTAAAGATAGTTATGCTTTAAATCAGGAGGTATTAATCATTTACTCCATTATTACTGATATTAACTTTTTATTTACGTCTTCTGTCATCAATATTCATGTAGATTCTAAGACTGAAATTCTTAATATTGCAGACCTTGTTTACCGGGTAATTGTTTTGTAATTTCAATGATTTATTGAGTAGAACTTTGTCGAAAGTATTATTTTTTCATTACATTTCTCAAATCATTTAATCATTTTGTTTTACATAAAAAAACAAATGGCATTTATATAGCATGTAAGTATATCTTTAAGAAAAGTGATCAAGGTCAAGGTCCCAAATTGGTGATGCAGTTGAATAGCTTACTTTTTCTTACGTATCAGTATATGAAGTTTGGTAAAACTCTCTTGAAATGTTTCTTTGAGTTAAACACTAATTTAAGAAAAGTGAGGTCAGGGTCAAAGGAAAGGTCAAGGTCACAAAATGTTGATGCAGTTGAATAGCTATCATCAATATGCATCATCATATGACGTTTGTTAAATATTCCTTGAAGAGTTTCTTTGAACGGAGCTTAACGCAAAGCGCAATGGAAAGACAGAAGACGGACATGACAAACTCTATATTCCCCGGCCATATTCATAGCATGGCATAAAAAATATTAGTCAAAAAAGATTATCTTTGAAAACTTCTCTTCACAATTTCTTCCCCTTATCCTTGCTCATGAATCAATGTGTTCATAATAAAATGGCTTATATATGGCAAATTGTCAGCAGACAAAGAACTCACCTGCAATCCAGCTGTAGACCAGGGTGACTAGATCCTCCTTAAACTGCTCATTAAACTGTCTGTAAGAGTCAGGGAAGGAGTGGCAGTAGGCAGCATAGGTCGCCTGGGCAACCAGAGTCGGGTAGTCCTGGATAATACAAGGTGTTAATTCAATATCAAAAATTATTTCACTATAAAGAGCTGAATCTGAAGACTTTAAATAAAAGCAAAAATTGATCAAAACACAAAAACAGAAAAATACTGTATACAGGGTTATTTTCGCCCCGTCTTATTTTCGCCCTTTCACTCTTGCAAACAATTTTGCCCCGTTTTAAATTCGCCCAGGCCTAGTTTGGTTTAAGAAAGTACACTGTATTCTTTGAATTCGCCCCGTTTTAAATTCGCCCAAATGAGGATAGGGCGAAAGGGGCGAAAATAAAATGGGGGCGAAAATTTCCCTGTATACAGTAGTCATAATAATTTACATTTTAGTAAGTTTTATATTTATTTACATGTACCAATAACATTAATCTCTTCTATTTAATTGATATATTTAGTCTAGACATTTAAAACAAGTTTCACTTTCAATGAATGAAATGATGATAAATGGCTAAATTTTTCTGTTGGTTCATTCTATATCCTTGCCCTTTACATTGTTTTTTTTTTAAGGAGGCTGGAGGGTCAACAAATTAATCCCAAATTAACCACCAGATTTAACTTATTTTTTTAGATACGGTATCTTGCCCTTTAAAAATTTTAGTTTTAAAATTTGATCATTGTTTTTTTTTAAATGGTTTTTCTTAGTTTTCCATTTCCTCTTCGTTGAAATTAATCACAATTATGATAATCCAGACCACAAATAAACTAAACTCTGTCCCCCTGTAATTCTTCCAAACAATTTATCATCAGGTGAAATAGCGGTTGCTGACCTTGAAGAAGACATCACGGTACTGTGGATTCCTGACATATAACATTAACTTGACATAGTTGTATGCTGCCCTATTAAACAGCTTGACCTGGGAGTTTTTACTCGACTGAAACTTGTCCAGGAAGAGGTACCAGAAAATGTCCTGTAAAACAAGTCAGGAAAATCTAAATCCATTTGAATCGTTGTCACAATTAAAATATATATTACAGGAATAAGTTTCAGCAATACTCATGTACAATGTATATTCATAATATCTGTAATATAAAATTCTGTACAAGATTTAATTTATAGACTGATACTTACAGAACATACTGCTTGGGACATTTCAGAGTAAAACCATTTTTCAAATTCAGGTCTGTAGTCAGGCTAAATATGAAAACAAGTTAAATATGTATTCAACAATATTCTCAGCTATACCAATTTCAAATTACTCACAGAATGAGAAACAAATAAGTTTTGTAGGTTGCCTCATACCAAAAGTACCGAAACATAATGGAAAAAATTAATATTTTCATACATGATCAATTCAGCCTCTAAGCCCATGCAGTGTAACTTTGAACTCATATTTCAGTGTGTCTCGCACTGTTACAATGAACCCTAAATAAAATTAAATGTGACACCAAGTTCATACCAAAGTTAGGAGGATTTTAAATATACTGCCTCCCATAACATCTTAAGGCAAGTGGAATCTGAGTTTGAGGTTTACCTTTTTATGAAGCTGCATGTGAGCTGAGACTGCTTTCTGTAACATCTCCGCGAGGGGGATTTCATCGGGGAGGGCCGTTAGCTCTGTGATGTCATAGCCTGGGTACTGGTGGAGCTACAGGCAAATGTTGACATATAAACATACTAAAAACTTAGTCTTAAAGATCAAAAGTCAAATGTCATCCTATAAACATACTGAAAACTTAGCACCAAGGGTCAAAGGTCAAATGTCATTATATAAACATACTGAAAACTTAGTCTTAAAGATCAAAAGTCAAATGTCATCATATAAACATCACTGAAAACTTAGCACCAAGGGTCAAAGGTCAAATGTCATTATATAAACATACTGAAAACTTAGGATCAAGGATCAAATGTCATCATTTAAACATATTGAAAACTTAGTCTCAAAGATTAAAAGTCAAATGTCATCCTATAAACATACTGAAAACTTAGCATTAAGGGTCAAAAATACTGTTTATCATCTACAGATGGGGCATACTGAAACACAGTTTTCATTGTCATTTTTTTTAACATTTTACTTCTTTCACATTAGCCATATTACTGGGGAATATGAATAATTGAAGTGCATACCTCAACAAACTTTGGTTTTCCTGATTCTTTCTTTATCTGAAATGTACCATATCTATCATCTATCAAAAAATAACTTTCAGCATGTTTTATACTTATGTAATACATGTTTTAAAGTATTTCAAGGACAGAATATTCTGTTTGAGGTGTTACGCAATCTGTCTGAGGTGTTGTTGACTCACTGAATGGTACGCTCACCACATTATCTTGCTTTTCAGATTATACCAGAAAACTTATCTTATTAATTAAAATGATGTCATGAAAACAAGTATGTATCGTGCAATAAACTACTCTGTTAGAATGGTTGTCAAAATTTAATTGCGTTCCAGAAAACACTGTAAAAGAACTTTTCCATTCATTTCTATGAAAAGTTCTGGATCTTATTTCAACACTTGGGCCTTGTGGTCTATTTATGAAATAATTTAAGTTGACCTTTATCTCATGATGACTTTTGCAGCTGTTTATTATATTTTAAATATACAAACATGACAGCAGTAGCTATTAATTACTAGATGATTAGTAATTAGTTCAAGCAAAATGTATGAGGTATGAAAAATAAAATTATTTAAAACCTTTTAATAACCCAATTTAATTTTTTAACTGTTTTTTTTTTAATCTATAGCATAAATCATGATATTTTTATATATAAAATCAATATATAATGACATACACATGTCAAAATTTACTTCAAATTGAATGAGGGGTCAATACCACTATTTATATATATATAAATGTAATAATTTATAACTCAATGAAAAGTCGTTCACATCTATGATGAGTCATTTTTTACCACTCTTTATGACACTATATTCTAACTACATGAGAAGTAGTTTACCACTACTTATGACACTGTATAATGTGATCTTACTGTAGTTTTGCTAGGCTGCATGCTGACTTTAGAGATATTTTTAACCCTCTCACTTCTTCCCGGTAGGAAAGCTGAACGATTAAACAAAAAATTAGAGTTAAATTACGTCACATGTTTATTTACAAATTTTATCAATTTTCAACATTTGTCTTTTAATTAAATAGATACAAAAATCTACCAAATTGAAAGATTCTGATAGTTTGCTGTAAACAAAATTGATAACAGAAGACAAGATCTTGATTTATATATATATTCAGAATGTGTTACTTAAGGACGTTCCATCCTGTGCTTTTGATTCAATTTTGGTCTAGACCTTTATTTCAAAAATTTTGCATCGATTTTAAGTTTTAGCATTATTCAAGAAGGGTTAAGCCAGGGACTATATTTTGTGGCAGAAGGTTTTTTAGAAAAAAATTATCAATTTATCCCTTTTGAACTTAATAAAGTACTGTTAATTTTAGATTCCTATTTTTCCGTGCTGGTTGCACACAAAGCTGTTTTTTGCAGTGAAATGTGTTATGCGTGTTCTGAAATATCTATTAATTTTTTTCTTATGAATTCTTTCGATGAATTATGACAAATATAGTAAATATATTCTGAAAGTCCGGGAAAAAACTGAGCCAATTTTATCAGAAAACTGACAAATTTTTCGTATAATATCTAAAAATTTACATCATATACCCCCACTTTTGATGTTCTTTTCTGAATATTTAAGATAACTTTGACCTATCTTCTGAAATTCAGCAAAAGTTTAAGACTTTAAAATAATTTTCTTGCTTATTAAATTTTCAAAGCCAGAAAAATCCCACTTTGTGAGTGCAGAAAGGTCAAATAATTGATTATGCGTAGCAATTAAACCGAGTTGGCTCGCCTATGGATTTTAAATGTCTCTTTTTAAATAGACATAATTTATTTTGTTCCATGCTTAAGTAGGATAAAAATATTAGAGGGAAAACTTTGAAGATGTAAATTTTTATTAAGACATAGATTTCAGTGCAAAAAGGTCATATTTAATGAATGGTAGCTCCAAAAGAAGCATATTGACCCAAATATTTTGATTTGATTTTTAATTAAGCTATATGTGTAGAAACTAAAAATATACTTGACCAAAAAAGTTTAAGACTTTAAATATCAGGATTGAACGTCGTTAATGTTAATTAAAATTCTTACTCTGCTTCATTGTAAAGTACCCTGCAAATTTGTTAATTTCTTTGGTTTCTCTCTCTGAAATAAGTGGAAAAAAGTTTCATTAAACCATACCTTAAAACGTGCCATACATTAATTAAATTTACATAGTTCAGAAGTTTTCATATACAATAACATACATATGACTTATACACAAATAAAAAATGACTATAGTTTTTTTATCTCATTAGTTTTCTATTATTTCCTGCAAGCTTAAATAGAATATCCAAATGAGAACCTCTTCTTTCATATCTGTCTCTCCCTCTGGCACTGGCCACAGACATTGTATCATCAGTGTCTTCATAGTTAGAGGCTCGACTCTCCACAACCAATGCTGTGTACTTCTGAAGTTTTCTGTCTAATTTGCTGATTTTCTTATTAACCTCATCAATGGATCCGATGAAAAAAGCTGATCATTTCAGTTAAGAAAATGACACAAAATTAAACAACCTCACATTAATTCTACTGACTTGCAGCAAAATAAATTAATCTCCTATATGTTTACATATTTCACTGCATTAAAAATCTGTCAAATGGCATTGAAATGTATGTTTATATATATATATATATACATGTATGCTATAAAAACAAAGTATTATAATTTTTTGACTATTATCTCTATAGAGAATAAATATAACACTTTCATTTTCAAGTCTAGATATTTTTGTCATTTACTTTGTATATATAGATGGCTCAAAATGATATCAAATTGTAACATTATAATGAAAACTTTAAAGACATTTCATTACTAATTAATCAAAGAGAGGCAGGAAGGAAATATTATTTTACACAATATTGTACTATCATCAATCTTCAAATAGCCAAAAATTAACCTTGAGGTTCAAGGTTTTGGGGCATTTGATGATTTATTTCATATCATATATTTACTTTAGGGTTGGAATTCGGAAACTAAATAGGAATCAGAAATAGCCAATGAAAACACAGATATCAGACGAGAAAGAATGATTAATTTTTGTCTCTTAATGTCAACCACAACCATCACCTCCTTTCGAGTTTCCTACATTTACCACTATGTAATATACGTACTGTCAACACATGGTTTTAGGGGATCACGTTCTTAGCATAAAAACTTTCGATCAATATTGTCGTCAATTTAGCTAGAGCATTATTTTTATTTTATACGTTAATAATTATTCAGTGAGTTCAGCAATTTTTGGTTACAATATAGCGAAAAATGTTGCCATTGTGTAAAAATCGTGAAAACTTTTGTCATAATGCTGTATGTAGATCATTTTGTTACATTCTTTTTAAAATTAAATGCCAATAAAGGATTATAACTTTATGTTGAGAACATACATCTATCTGTTTTAAGTTTTTTTTAAAACAATCTCCAAATATGTGATACAATATACAAGTGAAGTAAAATTAATAACCTTGTTAAACTGGAAAAATTGCAAATATTCAAATACTGCACATATCATGTAGCTACCTTGGTACTAATCTGCATTTCTTTTTTGAAATAAACTGTTGCAAAATGTCCAAAAGGTTAGTTCTTAAAATCTACATGTTTATCTAAGGCTAGCAGAAATTGATTCTACGTTTTAAACTTCATCTTAAATCCTCAAAACCTATGAGGGAGGAAAAAAAAGTAAAAAATTTGAGTCAATTACTGCAGTAAAAGCAGAAATATTCATCGGGGATCAAATTTTGCTTATTTCGTTGTTAAAAAATATCTTCAAAACTTTAAGCTCACACGAAATTTTTAGAATATATATTGAATAGGGTTACTTTCAAAACAATGAAATTAAATGCCCACGAATTTATTTTAGGTGACAAATCAATGAAATTAAATCACCACAAAAATATGTTCTTCTACAGTATTTATAATTCACATTTTTGGACAGCAAAAAAAAAAAAAAAAAATCAAACAAATGAGTATTTATTACTAATTTACCTTAATCAAATACTCTTAATATTTTTGTTTCATGTAAATTTATTGATTAATGGTCATGATTGACTCATCTTAAATATATATCATACTCAGTGAAAGATGACTACACTTAGCGCAAAGAAAAACACACATTATCAAGAGTGATTTTTTCAAGAATTCTTTTCAGATTAGTTTAAAATTTAGTTCACTGCAACTGAGTGTGATTTTCTGCACATCCTGAGAAAAATGATATTCATAGAAATAAGTTTGATTTGTTAGCTAAATAAATCTACTTCATGTAGGTAAGTAAAGCTATGTCGGTAATTCAAGCTACGATGCTAAATGTAGTGATTGTTCTATATAGTTGCATGCATAGCAACGGTTTGCAAAGATAATTCATAGAAAAACTGGCCAATATTTTGTATGCTCAGAAGGATACGTGAACGATTTCTCTGTTTGTTTTCCAAAAACTTTTTCTTATTGTCAAGAACTTCTTGTTTTAAGTCATAGTTTTCTTCACATAAATCCATAGGCGAGCCAACTCGGTTTATGCTCGCCATCTTTGATGCCTCTTGGTGTCGTAAACGTTTTAAACGGGTTGCTGGTCAATTCGTTCCATATGTACGATTGAAATTCATTACCGCCTTCGGTAGGAAGAGCGCTTGAAAAGGTGTCTGTCACGACTAAAGAATTCAACGGATAAGTATCGCCAAAAAAATCCTTGAATGTATTACGTAACTGTCGAATATAGCCTACAATGTTCAGTTCAGTTAATGTGTGGCCATCAATAAATCATTCATTCGACAGACACCTTGCATCAATCTCAGAATCACCACTCAGCAGACTAGATATGGCAAGAAATTGGTACTGCGTTTTTAGGTGATACTTTTGTACCCTAGGGTACACCCTTATTAAATGTATGGAGAACAGGTTACAAAAAGGGTACACTATTTATTCCTACTGAAAACGAAAGTAGATGCTTCCCAGTGGAAGGAAGACTGTAACATCTATATAAGTAAAATTAAAAATAATGTAGCCGATGCTCAGGGTACAGTGGGTACAAAGGGTACACATGGGTACAGCAGGTTACAACACTATAAGAAATGGATACAAGGGTTAAGAAGGCTGAAATTTTCTAAGTTAAAATTAAAAATAATGTAGCCGATGCTCAGGGTACAGTGGGTACAAAGGGTACACATGGGTACAGCAGGTTACAACACTATAAGAAATGGATACAAGGGTTTAGAAGGCTGAAATTTTCTAAGTTAAAATTAAAAATAATGGAGCCGATGCTCAGGGTACAGTGGGTACAAAGGGTACACATGGGTACAGCAGGTTACAACACTGTAAGAAATGGATACAAGGGTTTAGAAGGCTGAAATTTTCTAAGTTAAAATTAAAAATAATGAAGCGGATGCTCAGGGTACAGTGGGTACAAAGGGTACACATGGGTACAGCAGGTTACAACACTGTAAGAAATGGATACAAGGGTTTAGAAGGCTGAAATTTTCTAAGTTAAAATTAAAAATAATGAAGCCGATGCTCAGGGTACAGTGGGTACAAAGGGTACACATGGGTACAGCAGGTTACAACACTATAAGAAATGGATACAAGGGTTTAGAAGGCTGAAATTTTCTAAGTTAAAATTAAAAATAATGTAGCCGATGCTCAGGGTACAGTGGGTACAAAGGGTACACATGGGTACAGCAGGTTACAACACTATAAGAAATGGATACAAGGGTTTAGAAGGCTGAAATTTTCTAAGTTAAAATCTAAAATAATGGATCTGATGCTCAGGGTACAGTGGGTACAAAGGGTACACATGGGTACAGCAGGTTACAACACTATAAGAAATGGATACAAGGGTTTAGAAGGCTGAAATTTTCTAAGTTAAAATTTAAAATAATGTAGCCGATGCTCAGGGTACAGTGGGTACAAAGGGTACACATGGGTACAGCAGGTTACAACACTATAAGAAATGGATACAAGGGTTTAGAAGGCTAAAATTTTCTAAGTTAAAATTAAAAATAATGAAGCAGATGCTCAGGGTACAGTGGGTACAAAGGGTACACATGGGTACAGCAGGTTACAACACTGTAAGAAATGGATACAAGGGTTTAGAAGGCAGAAATTTTCTAAGTTAAAATTAAAAATAATGGAGCCGATGCTCAGGGTACAGTGGGTACAAAGGGTACACATGGGTACAGCAGGTTACAACACTATAAGAAATGGATACAAGGGTTTAGAAGGCAGAAATTTTCTAAGTTAAAATTAAAAATAATGGAGCCGATGCTCAGGGTACAGTGGGTACAAAGGGTACACATGGGTACAGCAGGTTACAACACTATAAGAAATGGATACAAGGGTTTAGAAGGCAGAAATTTTCTAAGTTAAAATTAAAAATAATGAAGCGGATGCTCAGGGTACAGTGGGTACAAAGGGTACACATGGGTACAGCAGGTTACAACACTATAAGAAATGGATACAAGGGTTTAGAAGGCTGAAATTTTCCAAGTTAAAATTAAAAATAATGGAGCGGATGCTCAGGGTACAGTGGGTACAAAGGGTACACATGGGTACAGCAGGTTACAACACTATAAGAAATGGATACAAGGGTTTAGAAGGCTGAAATTTTCTAAGTTAAAATTAAAAATAATGTAGCCTATGCTCAAGGTACAGTGGGTACAAAGGGTACACATGGGTACAGCAGGTTACAACACTATAAGAAATGGATACAAGGGTTTAGAAGGCTGAAATTTTCTAAGTTAAAATTAAAAATAATGAAGCGGATGCTCAGGGTACAGTGGGTACAAAGGGTACACATGGGTACAGCAGGTTACAACACTGTAAGAAATAGATACAAGGATTTAGAAGGCTAAAATTTTCTAAGTTAAAATTAAAAATAATGAAGCGGATGCTCAGGGTACAGTGGGTACAAAGGGTACACATGGGTACAGCAGGTTACAACACTGTAAGAAATGGATACAAGGGTTTAAAAGGCTGAAATTTTCTAAGTAAAAATTTAAAATAATGTAGCCGATGCTCAGGGTACAGTGGGTACAAAGGGTACACATGGGTACAGCAGGTTACAACACTATAAGAAATGGATACAAGGGTTTAGAAGGCTGAAATTTTCTAAGTTAAAATTAAAAATAATGGAGCCAATGCTCAGGGTACAGTGGGTACAAAGGATACACATGGGTACAGCAGGTTACAACACTATAAGAAATGGATACAAGGGTTTAGAAGGCTGAAATTTTCTAAGTTAAAATTAAAAATAATGGAGCTGATGCTCAGGGTACAGTGGGTACAAAGGGTACACATGGGTACAGCAGGTTACAACACTATAAGAAACAGATACAAGGGTTTAGAAGGCTGAAATTTTCCTGCATTGAGCAAGGTTTAAATTTAGTCAAACATCTGTTTTTGTCTTGGTGCACGAGCAAAATCCTTTGGTGCAGGGGGTTTGAAGTTAGGGAGGAATGACAGAAAATAACTTAAACAAATTATTATTTTATTGAAGCTTTTTTGGAAAAATAACGTGTTTGAGTTACTAAGGCTGGGAAGAAGTAGGTCATAGCAAAGAGAAGTAATTCATTGAGACTCATTTGAGTTATTTTTGAAAATAAATTGTTCAAGTTATGCCCCTGACTGATAATGTGACTGATACTTTAAGGTCTACTAGGCCGATGTGGACCCATATCTTGGGGCATCGCTCACACTACAGATTACCTCCAATTACCACTACGTCTATGGCCACCGGCAGGGAAATGTGAATATGATTTTGGAAACCCGTGTCAAAAAAGCCGTGCCGTATACCATATACGGCATCACAGGATCTGTGAATTTGTTTAGATCTAGGTCATGGCCTTTAGAAAATCCCCAGATGTAACTGTGGATGACAAAATGGTGACTGAAACCAAACTAACCTCCCATTGCTTTACATTAATGCTTAGTTTTAGAATTTTGAAAGTTAAAAATCTTACATGAATATGTCCATTTACTTTCTGTTAAAGATTTACTTTATCAGTTACAATCCATGCTTAGTTTTAAATTAAGATTTTAATGATAATGTGCAATATTCAATTGTAATTTAATCTAGTAGCTAAGTTTGCACAATCTGAGAAAGAATTTAGTTAAAATAAAACTTTCACTAAAACAGTGATGTCACAAAATATAAACTATAAAGGATTAGTGAAAGTCATTCAAATTAACCTAAACTCTTTCATCATGTTCATTGTCAACATTGCAATACAGGAAGATCATGAAAATTGAAAAATTGACTTATTTATTCTAGATTACACTTACTGCATTTAGTTCAAAAGTGATGAAATTATCCCAGACTGACATATATACAATTCCATGCAACTTAAACATCTATTAGTTTAATATTCTTTAACTAGAGTAAAAAAGACACATTCTTTGCTCATGACCATGAATCCCTCCAATTTCATATTCAAATAAAGGAAGTTATGATTGAGCATGCTCAGTAAAAAGCCGTGAGATATATAAATAAATAGTTTTAAGCAAAACCCGCCAGAGTTAAAAAAAACCCTCTACCTGGGACACGGATTCTGTGCCTCCACATGGGTTTCTGTGAGTAAGGATTCCTCACTTTCAGACACAGAAGCTGTGTCCGTGTCTTGGACATGCAGAACCCGTGCGTCTTTTTAAAATCCCGTGCGGATTCCGTGTCTTAGCCAAGCCCAAGCCGTGCCTATTCCGCCTCGAACTTTTGTACAGGAAGTTTTGAAGAGGCTGGTTTTTTTTGCCATTTTAGCTCAGCTGAGCTGAAAGCCATTAAAAAATCATATTCTCAAGAACCAATGGGTCAGAAAAGCTGAAACTTATGTGGAAGCATCCTGGGGTAGTGTAGATTCTAAATTGTTCAAATCTAGACCCCTTAGGGTGGGGCCATAGTGAGTTGTATAACATTACATTGCAAAAACCTAAAAGCTTCTTGAGATATGAATTAAATTACTTCAAATTTCCATGAAAATTAACTGATCAGAAATTTATACCCACGTAATGTATAAATTGATAATCTTGACCTTGCAATTGATGTTTTCAACCAAAATAAGAAGTCTCCTTATATTAGACCAAAAGAGTTATGGTATGGGATCGGGGGATTATCCCCACTTTCAAAGGACTTGAACAGAAGTATGTTTTAACTTTGCGAAGTTTGCTGCTAGAACTAAGCATTCACAGACACACCCTTTCAAAACTTCTTCCCTTTCGGGCACATGACATTTGTATTTTTTTAGGGATGGCAATTTGTAACCGGTTAACCGATTACTCAGTCGGAACGATTGCAATCGGTTAGAAAATCTGTAATCGGTTACTCAGAAAAAATAAAATTTATGTAATTTTGAACCAAATTTTGATAGAAATTCATTTTTGAAAAAAAAAACTTTGGACAAATGTTGATAATTCAGCGTTTTCAGAAGCTGACTTGGATGTTATTATCGTTCTCCGGACTGATATTATAAGGTAATTAGCCATTGTGTGTTTGAAGTGATAATTATATACTGTTAAAACACCGCAAGTCGTTACCCTGACTGTCCTGTATTTCTTTAATGATGATTAAATCACCGTCGAGAACT